AAAAAAAAAAGCCTTTGAAGATCGCGCGGCTCAGCTGGGATCGTCAGAGGCTCTTAAAAGCAAGTTTTTTCTGCAACCTCTTCGGCCGAAGAGGTTGTCGAAAAAAAAAAATGCCTTTAAAAGCCTCTGAGGATCCCACCTGAGTTGCCTGATCATCAGAGGCTTTTAAAAGCAATTTTTTTTTTGCAACCTCTTAAGGTTGTAGAAAAAAATGCTTTTAAAAGTTAAAAAAAATAAATAAATAAAGTTGGCCACGCCCACCCAGTCACATTACCCACCACCAAGCCACGCCCACAGAACCAATAGTAACAAATTTTACATTTCACCACTGCCTTAACCACTAAAATCCAAACTGGCTTAATAGCTCTCAGAATCAGGAAATTCATCATGATTTCAAATTTGGAGATCTCCCTTGGTAAAAGCTTCCAACCATTCTTGGAATCAGATACATTTTCTTTCCATAAATGCTTGAAATATTGCCCTGTTTGTTGAGAAAAAAAACCCTGCCTTTTATTCAAAAATCGATCTTAAGATTGCCGACACAGCGATTCTTTAATTTGGGAAGGGGGCTCTGTCCATGTGGGGCTGTGGGGTGATTAGCCAACCGACTGAATGCTGCTAGGCAGAATAAAACATCAACAGCTGGATTACCTGTAAATTTGGAGTTCGTCAGCCTTGAAAATACGCAAAACTTCCCCTACTTTGCTGTCCAACTTCCTGCTGGTAATTGTGACTCAGACTTCCAGTAATGGAAGAGAGATTGTAAAAATGTTTGTTTTTTTTTTTTTGAAAAAAAAAAAAGGGAAATAATTACAGTATGTTTGTGCTTTTAGGGTTTATCCAGATTTCGGTTCAGTTTCAGGAATGCATTTTTATGCTTTTATAGATAATCTTCATCTGGTTATAAAAGTTGAAGAAGAATTTTTGAAAAAAGGCTTTTTAAAAAACTCTAGCAATTGTGGGGCTGTTTTTTTGTTTTTTTGTTTTTTGGGCAGTGTTGCTTCAAACTTAAAAACTACTCTGTGGTTTTGATTACTCAAAGCAACGATGGATGAATTTATAGTTACCGGACCCTTTTTCTTGTATTTGTGGTTAGATGCACACGCTTCCTCTTAAATATAGATAGTCCTCGATTTACAACCATTTATTTAGTGACAGTTCAAAGTTACAGTGGCACTGAAAAAAAGTGATTTATGATCATTTTTCACACTTAACAACCGTTGCAGCATCCCTGATTTTCACCCAACCACAATTGAACGCAGAAGTTCAATTGCTAAGTGACATGGTTGTAATTTCGCCCCATTTTACGACCTTTCTTGGCAGAGTTGTTAAGCAAATCCCTAAAATTGTTTTAAACTAGAAACACGGTCGTGAAGCGAGTCTGGCTTCCCCATTGACTTTGCTGGTCAGAAGGTCGCAAAAGGGAATCACGTGACCCCGGGACAGTGCAACCGTCATAAATACGAGTCAGTTGCCACACATCTGGTTTGTTTTTTTTGCAAAAAGTTGTTTTTTTATTTTTTTCCCCCAATACACAAATTACATCTTTTCGGAACAGAGCTTTGATCGGGTCATCAATTTGTTCAATTTTTTGTCATCTTTAACAACATTTTATATATTCTATTTTGCCATAACACTTATTTCTTAATCTTAACTCACATATCTCAACCAATACCTTCTTAGAAAAAGTTTACTCATATTTATCTAATCAAAACAATTACCCTTCGATTAACCCTCCTTAAATCTTAATTCAATTAGTACCTCATAATACATTTCACAATTCTTACCCTAAATCCTCACTAGTAACAATACAGTTCAAACATGTTTGTATTTCAAAATTATTTCCATTTCTAAAACTTCCTTACGTTTATTTATTCAAATTTAAATCTTGTCTCTGATCTTAGAAATATAGCAATTTATCATTTAAATCATGTGTGTGGGCCACACATCCGAATTTTGATCACGTAACCAAGAGGATGCTGTAAATGGTCACAAGTGTGAAAAAGGGTCGTAAGTCACTTTTTTTTCGGTGCCCTTGGAACTTTGAACAGTCACTAAATGAAAAGTTTTAAGTCCAGGGCTACCTTCAGTTCAACATCACACGAACAAGTGCTGTTTTTGTTTATTGCACTGTTTTGGTGGCTCCCTAGGTGGCTCAGTGGCTAAGACGCTGAGCTTGTCGATCAGAAAGGTTGGCGGTTCGAATCCCTAGCATAGGTTTCCTGTGTGAGCAGGGGGTTGGGCTAGATGACCTCCAAGGTCCCTTCCAACTCTGCTACTGCTTATCCCCAATTGCACATTAACATGTGTTATGAATAGCATGAATAGAGAACAATAAAGTGAGCATCTGAATGAGAGAATATTCAAATCTCTTCCGGTGCCAACATAAAAAAAAAAAAATCCCATTTCCAAGAAGCATAAAAGTAGACATAAAAGTAAGATGGGTTGCAATTTATTTATCTAATTTACTTACCCTCTCCCCCGCTTTTAGAAATGTGACTCTGGGATGTGCACAATAAAACAAGCAATTAAAATACTCTAAAACAACCCTCAGAACCAATTAAACAATAAATATAAACAAGGCCCCAGGAGGGAGGATATGTCAGAGTCTCCTGCATTGGGCAATTTAACATGCAATGCAAGAGGAAGAATGGAGGGGGAAAGAAGAGGAAGGGAAAAAAGAGATTGGCGGCAGCAACCCCCCCTGTTGATAAGTAGAGAGAGATTACTGGTACATTCTTGATATTCTTCTCTTTGGTCAAGTGCTGGAGAGGAAAAGGTTGTGGGTTCTTGGCAACGTAGATATCCCAGAGCTGTTGACAATAGGCAGGATAGATAGAAAGATAGATAGATAGATAGATTAATGGATGGATGGAAGATAGATAGATAGATAGATAGATAGATAGATAGATAGATAGATATAGATGATAGACAGACAGACAGACAGCAGTAGCAATAGCAAATAGCACTTAGACTTATATACCGCTTCACAGAGCTTTTTACAGCCCTTTCTAAGCGGTTTACAGAGTCAGCCTCTTGGCCCCAACAATCTGGGTCCTCATTATACCGACCTTGGAAGGATGGAAGGCTGAGTCAACCTTGAGCCTTGTGAGATTCGAACTGCCAAACTGCTGGCAGCCAATGATGAGTAGAAGTAGCCTGCAGTACTGCACTCTAACCACTGCGCCACCACGGATGGATGGATGGATGGATGATATAGATAGATAGATAGATAGATAGATAGATAGATAGATAGATAGATAGAAAGAAAGAGATAGAAAGAGAAAGATAGAAAGAGATAGATAGAAAGATAGAAAGAGATAGATAGACAGAGAGAGAGAGAGAGAGAGAGAGAGAGAGAGAGTTTCTCCACTGGAATGAGCAACAAACCTATACCTTCCTTCTCCTCAGGGCAATCAAGAATCAAGCAATCGATCAATTGATCAACCAAAATCTATAGGTGCGCATTTATTTATTTATTAAGTTGATATGCTGCCCATTTCACCATCAGGAGCAACTCTAAAATTTTCCAGCCAAATAACAATTAGCGATTAGTGTTCGACCACTAGTTCATTCAGCCTTTTGTTGGGATGCTCTCAGGACTCCTAGGAACTCTTGGGAGGTTTTTTTTTTTTTTTTAAACCTTGCCTAAAAATTCTAGGGGTGCATATGTGCCTTTCTGCCCTCAGAACAGCTATTCTCCACCTCCAAATATCCAACTGAAATAGACAATCACAAAAGTGGCAATAGAATAGGATAGGATAGGATAGGACAGGACAGGACAGGACAGGACAGGACAGGACAGGACAGGACAAAATTCTTTATTGGCCAAGTGTGATTGGACACACAAGGAATTTGTCTTTGGTACATACGCTCTCAGTGTACATAAGGAGAATAAAATACATTCATCAAGAATAATAAGGTACAACACTTAGTGATAGTCGTAGGGAACAAATAAGCAATCAAATCATATTAGGAAACAAATAAAAACAATATAATTGAAAGATACAAGCAACATGGTTATAGTAATAAGTGGGAAGAGTTAGATACTAGTAAGGAAGAGAAGAATAATAGTAATAAAGTCTTAATAAATTATCTGACAGTGTTGTAGGAATTAGTTGTTAAGCAGAGCGATGGCATTCGGGGAAAAACTGTCCTTGTGTCTAGTTGACACAATGAGAAAAAAATCCAGCAAACGAGTGTTAGAAACCCCCATTTCTCAATCTAGGGGTCTCTGGTACCTTCCCATCCACTGATTAACATGATTAGCTTCTGCACCCCAATGAGGTTGGCTGGGATTTGCTCTTAACATGGTTCTAATTTCCATATTTCTTTTTCCGTTCAGGTCTTGCCTCCTGATTTGGAAAATCTAGAAGGCTTACAGGGAATAGAAAATCACATCACTGCCACTCAGGACATCCCTCGTCTTTCAAGCATTCAGGTAATAAAGGTAATAAAGACAGGGCAATCATTATCACAGGTAGTCCCTTGACTTACAATAATTCATTTAGTGACCGTTTGAAGTTACAACAGCACCGAAAAATATGACTTGTGATTGTTTTTCACACTTAACAACCATGGTAGCGTTCCCATGATCAAAATTCAGACACTTGGCAACTGACTCATATTTATGACGGTTGCAGTGTCCCGGGTCATGTGACCACAAGCAAAATCAATGGGGGAAGCCAGACTCACTTAACAACCGTGTTACTTAATAACTGCAGTGATTCACTTAACAAGGGAGCGTGGCAAGGGAGGTCGTAAAATGTGGCAAAACTCACTTAGCTAATGTCTTGCTTAGCAACGGAAAATTTGGGTTCCGTTATGGTCTTAAGTCGAGGACTACCTGTATTATGGTTGAATGCATAGTCTGCCAGATCCAGATTGATTGCATTTGGCATTTTTATTCATCTTTGGAGTTCTTCCCAAGGACCTGAAATAGCCAGATATGGATATTTGATGGTGTTAAATGTCTCATCGTAGGATCTAAGCCCGTGATAGTGAACCTATGGCACGCGTGCCACAGGTGGCACGTGGAGCCGTATCTGTGGGCACGCGAGCGTTGCCTTAGCTCAGCTCCAGTGCGCATGTGCATGCTGGCCAGCTGATTTTCGAGCCTTCCGGGCCCACCGGAAGTTGGGAAACAGGCTGTTCCTGGCCTCCGGAGGGCCTCCGGGGCAGTGAGGAAGGATGTTTTTGCCCTCCCCAAGTTCCAAGAAAGCCTCTGGAGCCTGGGGAGGGCGAAAACAAGCCTACCATGCCTGCCCACCGTGCCATCGTGTGCCAAAAGCGGGGGAGCACGGGGGTCACGCATGTATGCGTGGGGGGGCAGGGGGGCATTGAGTATGAGCACGCGTGTGTGCAATCCCCCTGCGCTCCCCCCACTTTTGGCACGCAGCGGCAAAAAGGTTAGCCATCACTGATCTAAGCTGTTAGAAGTAAAGCTGCCTTTTGCAATTGACTGATATGGTTTTTGTCAATGCCAATGGTTGTAGTCTATAAGAAAGAATAAATGAAGAATAAAAAAGAGACATGGCAAGGCAAAGCAAAGGATTACGTGGGCAGCGCACACACACACGCACACACACACACACACACACACACACACACAATTGAAGGCCAAGGAAATAGCAAAAAGAACTGACAATTGTTAAGAGCAGGAAAGTTGAAGAAAGAGAGCAGAGAGGCTAATTCTGGCTGCCAAAGACCAAGCCTTAACAAGAAATGCACACAAAGCCAGTTGAATCGAGAAGACAGCAACAGACAGCAAGTACTGCCGTTGCAAACTTACTTGATTAGCAGCTGCAAGAAGATCACACAGACCGACTGCAAACAATGGCCTGACAAAGTAGCCACAATGGGTGCATTGGAAGATCCACAGAAAATTTACCTGCAAGCAGTGGTGGGTTTCAACCGGTGTTACCACTGGTTCGCATCATGCACGCGCTCCGCGCAAGCATAGTGTATTGTGGAACAGCTGAGACGCAGCAGTCCACTCTACCGCGCCTTTCAGCTGGGCTAAAAATGACCAAATATAAGGTATGTATAATGCAGGGCGGGCGGGAGGGCCAACTTAACTGTCAGAGAGAACCGGTTCGCTCTCAGCTCACCATCATCGCTACCGGCTCGCCCGAACCAGGCCGAACCGGTAGAAGCCCACCACTGCCTGCAAGGAAGAACTATGGGACCACAAAAATAGAGGAAGTAATAGAAAATGAAGAAGTTAAAGTGCTGTGGGAGCTTAGAATGCAAATAGAGAAGTACCTGCCACACAACAAACACACCAGACTTAACAATCGTTGAGAAGGAAGACAAAAAATGTCTGGATAGTGGACCGCAGCAGATAGTGGACATGTAGACAGCAGAAGAGAAGAGAAAAAAACTGGAGAAAAATCAGAAAATATAAAGATATGCAAATAGAAAATAAAATGACGTAAGTTTATTGTGGCCATTAATCAGCAAATCGAAATACAACGGTGGCAAAAGAAAGCAAAGGTAGCGATCGGCGCCTTGTGTGCAGTCCCAAAACTCCTGGAGCGCTGCTTGAACACCATCGGCATTGACAAAATCCCCCTCAGTCAATTGCAAAAGGCAGCTTGACTTGGAATAGCTTACATCCAACAACAATACCTTTCACACCATAATATATATCATATTACGATATATCTATATATATAAAAGCAAAAACCACTCACGCATTAATCACGAAATCTCCAGAACCGTAAAGCCTACAAACTTGAAATTTGCCACGTATCTTCCTCTTGGCTCCTAGGTGCTCACTAAGAAAGGATTTTTCGAAATGACCATCAGAGCATTAGTATTTCCTATATTATTATTAACACGCTCTGATGCTAGTATAATATATAATAACAACTGCCTATCCCAGATCCTTGGGAAGGACTCCGAAAACACGACCCACCCAAATAATAAGCCCAACCCTAATTTTTTGGGGATGGCCCTAATATTACCCCTACCCCGAAAATTGGCCTGGGGGGGATGGGCGTGGCCAGGGGAGGGGGGCAACTGTCTGGCTGCAGCTGCAGCCCACTGGCCCCTTAGGCCGCGCAAATACCGCTTTTGCCCTTCTCTTTCTGGGTGCAGTGCTTCTACTTGTTGGGCCGCTTCCCCGAAGCCGGCAGCTCTGCAACCAGCTGCTTTGATTTTTCCCTCTTTTTGGGAGGAGAACGGGAGGCATTTTGGCAAACAGAAGGAAAATGGGAGGGGTTTTTTTCCTGCCTGCCATCCTTCCCTCAGTCTGTGCTGAGACTGAGGAATGGATGGCAGGCAGGAAAATTCCCCTCCCTATTTTCCTCCCGTTCCTCAAAAAGCCTCCATTCCAAACACTGAAGGTTTGGAATGGAGGCGACGGTGCGTGCACGGCATGTCCAGCTCACCGAGTCTGGCCTGCTGCACCTCAAAAAAAGTAAGACCACTTTGAAAATAAGCCCAAGTGCTTATTGTCAAGTGTAAAAGAAAATAAGACTCAGTCTTATTTTCTGAGAAACCCGGTAATAGTAATAATAATAATAATAATAATAATAATAATAGAAGAAGCATATTTCCTTCTTGATTCGGAGATTTGATCCAGCCCACATTTTTACTCACTTCCTGATTTTGTTATGAGAAATAATGATATTTCCAGTTTCTTAATAGAAGTCAAGACTTTTCAACAATAGGTTTCCTGGTGCTTTGGCTTATACCGTTCAGAAAGTAATAACTACATCACGTGTATTCTTTCCCACTTCCTATATTTTGTTAAAAGCCCATGAACATGTGTTTTAAAACCAACAGCTGCCGAGACATTAATGTTTTGTAGAGAATCTAATTTAAATAATGTCAGGCATGAACAATTAGGTCCACCTGTGAAGGTTTCAATTTCAAGCCCACATACAGGAATCTTCTCGGACTAACAGTTTGCACCTGTGTAAAACTAGGTAAGATTCAAAGGCAATCAAGGGATGTTGGACTTTGTCCTCTTGTGACTATGTAGAGACTCTAAGCCTGTGATGGCGAACCTATGGCACGCGTAGCCATATCGGTGGGCACGCAAGCTCAGCTCCGGCTCGCATGTGAGCGCCGGCCAGCTGATTTTCGGGCCTTTTGGGCCCACAGACCGTTTCCGGCCTCCGGGTGGCCTCTGAGGGGCTGAGGAAGGCCGTTTTCGCCCTCAGGCTCCTAGAAAGGCTCTGGAGCCTGGGGAGAGAGAGAAACGGGCCTACCGGGCCCTCATGTGCCAGGAGTGGGGGGAGTGTGTGTGTGTGTGGGGGGGTCCCGCAGGCATGCATGGGGGCAGGGCACATAGAATTATGGGTGTGGGCATACACACACATGACACACACACATCCGCACTCCCCCTGCTCCTGGCACGCGATGGTAAAAAGGTTATCCATCGCTGCTCTAAGATAATTTCCCTCTTGACTCCACCCCCTCTCAATCTCTCTCCAAATCCCTCCCGTATCTTCACCTCTGATTCTGGGAGTATCACTAATGGATCACACACCTGCTCTGTTGCCACTTTGCTACTCGCCTGTCTGACATTTCTGTTTTTTCATTCTATTTCAGTCCCAAACTCAGGTAGAAGAGGAAGAGGAGGGTGACGATGACGAAACAGAAGAACTGGGTCATACAGAGACGTACGCCGATTATATCCCTTCCAAATGTGAGTGGGTCAACCCCAAGGCATTTTCTCTTTTTATATGTGTGTTTGTGTGTGTGTGTGTGTATTATTGGTTTTCTCTTTACATTCAATATGTGCTTAATGAACGGCATACTGTCTGAGTCCATTCGTTTACATAGGAATACTTCTTAAATTCCTAATTTCTACCCCTGTGGTCCAACCATTGATAAAACAAGTCCCAAGTTTGAAAATATTCTGTGTCTTCTTTTTCTTTTAACTTCAGTGTTAATCTGTCCCATTTCTGCACCGTGCAATATTTTTTTTTATTATATCTTCTTCCGTAGGTGTTTCCTCGCTTTTCCAATGTTGTGTACATTACAGTTCTTGCTGCTGTTAAAACAGTGTAGTATCAAATCATATATTTCTGGTATTATGCCTAACGAAAATAGTTCTGGCTTAAAATCCCAGGCATTTTCTTATGTGGGTAGTCCAGTCTTCCCCAGCTTGGTGCTCCCAGATCTATTAGACTTCATTTCCCAGAATCCTCAAGCAGCAAAGCTGTGGGAATTTTAAGGAAGGGAAATTAATTAATTAATTAATAAGAGCCTTGGTACTACAGTGGTTTAAAGCACCCTGTTATTAACACAGCTGCCTGCAATTTACTGCTGGTTCGAATCTCTCCAAGGCTCAAGGTTGACTCAGCCTTCCATCCTTTCTAAGGTAGGTGAAATGAGGACCCAGTTTGTGGGGGCAATAAGCTGACTTTGTATAAATATACAAAAGTATGAAGGCTATTGCTTAACGCACTGTAAGCCGCCCTGAGTCTCCGGAGAAGGGCGGCATATAAATCAAATTTAAAAATATATATATATATATATATATTTATTTATTTATTTATTTATTTGTTTGTTTATTTGTTTATTTATTTATTTATTTATTTATTTATTTTTCAGATTTCTATACCGCCCTTCTCCTTTCGGACTCAGGGCGGTGAACAGCCAAAGTTAAACATTTGTACACAAAAGTTAAAATAGATTTAAAATAATTAAATAAAGTTTGGCCCATAATTTAAAACATTTCAATTCAAAACCAATATCAATTTAAAAAACCCACCATAAAATCAGGACAGCCCGGCTAACTGAAAAAAATAGGTTTTAAGGGCCCGACGGAAAGTCCGGAGGTGTGGGATCACTCGAATCTCTGGGGGTAGATTGTTCCAGAGAGTAGGTGCCATCACAGAGAAGGCTCTCCCCCTGGGGGTCGCCAGCCGACATTGTCTGGCCGACGGCACCCTGAGGAGGCCCTCTCTGTGGGAGCGAACCGGCCGGTGGGAGGCAATTGGTGGCAGAAGACGGTCCCATAAGTACCCCGGCCCTAAGCCATGGAGCGCTTTAAAGGTGGTCACCAACACCTTGAAGCGCACCTGGAAGTCCACCGGAAGCCAATGCAGCTCGTGCAGCAGAGGAATTAAAGAATTTAATTTAATCTTTAGATTAGAATTTAATCTTTCTAGAGCAAAGATTCCCAATCTTGGCCACGTTAAGACACATGGACTGTAACTCCCAGAATTCCCCAGCCAGCCATGAAGTCCATATGTCTTAAAGTGGGCAAGGTTGGGAAACCTTCTTCTAAGCAACCAATGGAAGGCAGGGGCAATGTTGCGTCGTTCAACTTCCTGACTCTGCAAATATTTGAAGCCTAAACTGTGTGGGTGGTAGTGGGTGGGGCAGGTTGTGTGAGTAGGAAATCCCCCAGAACTCCTCACAACCAAATCACCATTTCCCTCTTAGCGTATCTGTAAACAGGATAACTAACCATAAGTGCTTCCTTGGTTTCAACATGATAGCAGCATAACAAGGGACAACAAAACCAGTGACTCAGTCACAACTTGTTTTGGAGAGCCTACATGTTCCTTGATTAAGATTCTTTACTTTGGACTCTGCATTGAGCCGAAGGTTGGACTGGACAGCTGCAGGAATTCCTTTCCATCGGCAGGATTTGGTGATGCAGGGAAGTAGATTCGGGGGTCAAGGAGAGACCTGCATCTCATTCCGTCCCATGCGATTGCCTTTGAGTAGACTCCTACGTTGGGCACAGTCAAGAGTGTGGCTTGCATGAATTTGACCCTGGCATATTGTGTGAAACTAGTCATTTTGCCGCTTGCGAGATGTGGGGTTATGGCAAAGATGGACAACATGGGAAGGTTGGTGGAAGGAAGGCAGAATGGCTTTCAGGTCTTCCGTGGACATCACTGGGAGTGGTGGGACTGAATTTTATGGACCCAATTTTGGAGGGAGAACTAGTTTAGGATAGCAGTACTAGCTTTTTGGAGCTAGTATCAATATGCAATAGCACTTAGACATATATATATATAATTTATTTTTATTTTATTTTATTTAATTTGTATATCGCCCTACTCCCGAAGGACTCAGGGTGGTGAACAGGCACAGAATAAAACACATGGAATACAAAAATTAAGAGCAGAAGTAATATCGAATTAAATCAATTTAGCCCAAGACAAATTTAAAACCCCAGGTTAAGAACAAATTAAAATTTACATTAAAATTTACATTAAAAAAGAATGGGAAAGGTTAGGCCAGACCAGCCTGATGAAATAAAAAGGTCTTAAGAGTGCGGCGGAAGGTGTGTAGATCCGGGATCCTCCGTATCTCCGGGGGGAGCTCGTTCCAGATAGTAGATGCCCCCATAGAGAAGGCTCTCCCCCTGGGGGCCGCCAGCCGACATTGTTTGGCCGACGGCACCCAGTGGAGTCCCTCTCTGTGAGAGCGTACCGGCCAGTGGGAGGCCGTTTGCGGCAGCAGGCGGTCCCGTAAATAACCAGGCCCTAAGCCATGGAGCGCTCTAAAGGTGCTTTAGAGTGTTCCACAGGGCTTTTACTCCACAGGGCTTTTACAGCCCTTTCTAAGTGGTTTACAGAGTCAGCCTCTTGCCCCCAACAATTTGGGTCCTCATTTTACTAACCTCAGAAGGGATGGAAAGCTGAGTCAACCTTGAGCCGGTCAGGATCGAACTGCTGGCAATTGGCAGAGTTAGTCTACAATACTGCATTCTAAGCACTGCCTACCAGGGCTTTTTACACACACACACACACACACACACACACACACACACACACACACACACGATTTAGTGTAATGCTTGAACAAAGCTTTTGACTCAAGAGGTGGGGGTTTGTTGAGATTTGTATTTGGGGTTTTATTTCTGTAAGCCATCTGTAGTCACTGCGAATGAGTTCAGGCAGCCAGATAAGCTGCCAAGGGGTGATTTTCTCCATCTGGAAGTGGGAGAGATTGAGGAGGGCTAAAATCTGAGGTCAAGACTTAGCAGATTTTCCCTGTGCAAAGCAGCCATGGATGAAGTGGAAAATACTCTTTAATCCCTGACTTCCTGATTTGGTAAACTCTTGCCTCCTCCTGTCTTAGATCATTGTTTGTCTTCTGGGCACGACTGAAGAGGCTGTTGACTCTTGCAGTTAATGCCCTGGCTAGCAGTTATGGAGAAACCATTGATAACCCTTAGGAGATTCGAAGGCTCAGAATAGGGCAATTAACAACAGCAGAGACTATCTCTGACTGGAAGAGATTGTTGTGGTCCGCCCGCAGCCTGCGGAGCTGGCAGCAGAGTCGGACAGTGAGGAGGCCGAGGAAGAACATGGGCCAGTCCTGGAGGCTGGGGAAGGCCTGGATGAGGGCTCTGCGTCGGAGGCAGAGATGGGGCCAGGGCCATCGGGGAGTGATGTGCGGACTCCGGAGCCTCCAGAGGCTCACAGCAGAGAGGCAGAGGAACAGGAGGAGCCTGTTCCTAGTGCACGTATGAGAAGAGCTGCCAGAAGGCAGGAGCAGCTAAAGCAGAGAGGACGACTCAGGAGTAAGGCCAAGAGATGATTGGCCCCTGTCATAAGGCTTAAAAGACCAGCGACTGCTCTTGGCCTCTTTGCCGGAAAACAGGGTTGAGAGACTTGCTTCTTGTTTCACTGTATTCATTTCTTGTCGGCGTCTTCTGCTTCTGAACTTTTGCCAAGAAAAGCCTTTGGCAGTTTGCCTACTTATCCCAAGGTCAGGTGATAAACTGAGGAGCGGTGTTTTGAAGAATTTGCTTTAATTTAGTTTGGACTACGCTGAGAATGAGTTAATTCTCAGCTGTTCTAATAAAGTCTGTTTTCGAACTGTTTGTATTTAATACTAACTACTTGGGTCTGGTCGAAACGTCGCTTCTACCTGTTTAGGGATATGTTCACAATTTTTTTTTTTTAATTTGATTTATATGCCACCCTTCTCCGGAGACTCAGGGCGGCTTACAATGCGTTAAGCAATAGCCTTCATACTTTTGTATATTTTATACAAAGTCAGCTTATTGCCCCCACAAACTGGGTCCTCAATTTACCTACCTTAGAAAGGATGGAAGGCTGAGTCAACCTTGAGCCTTGGCGAGATTCGAACCCTGCAGTAATTGCAGGCAGCTGTGTTAATGACAGGGTGCACTAAACCACTGTACTATCAAGGCTCTTGATTACACGGGAAGAAACACAATTAATTAATTAATTAATTACACAATTACATGGGAAGAAACCCGAAATATTAACTGTACACACACACACACACACACACACACACACACACACACACATATATATATACATTAATATACATGAATGAAACCTGGCTAAGGGCCCCAAATTCCCCCCTCAAATACGGTTTTAATTGAATTGTTGGCTTGTATGGTCTAATATGGCCTTTGATCCTTGCAGAGAACTTAAAGTTTCTCCAGAGAAGCTGAGAAACATTCGAACGGTTGACACTTGTCTTTTTGCTTTGTCTTACAGCGAAAATTGGGAAGCAGCATCCTGATCGAGTGGTAGAAACCAGCACGCTTTCCAGCGTCCCTCCTCCAGATATCACCTACGTCCTCTCTCTCCCCGAATCGATTGGTGAAAACGGGTTGCTCTCTGCGCTGCAACTGGAAGCTATCATTTACGCCTGCCAGGTACACACACGAAGTGGGTTTGGGGCGGGATTTACAGTAACAGAGTTGGAAGGGACCTTGGAGGTCATCTAGTCCAACCCCCTGCTCACGCAGGAGACCTGTACTAGAGGGATTCGAACCGCCGAACTGCCGACCTTTCTGATCGACAAGCTCAGTGTCTTAGTCACTGAGCTACCTAGTCAGGATTGATGAAACACGGCTAAGACGGGTTGTAAGCTTCCGAGCGGCTAGAAGCCACTCCTGTAGTGCCTCTTCACTCGATTCCTACATTGGGTTCCTTTCTGCTGGGATTTCTAGGAACACGAAAACTTGCTTCCCAACGGGCAAAGAGCCGGATTCCTGATAGGAGACGGTGCGGGCGTAGGGAAGGGCCGGACCATTGCAGGGATCATCTATGAAAATTATCTGAAGGGAAGGAAGAAGGCTCTGTGGTGAGTGATCACGTCCCTGCGTTCTGTTTTAAAGCTCTCAGAAATTGCATCTCTTTTCTGTATTCCTTTCCCAGTTTAAAGGGTCCTCAAAGCTAAGGCCCCAATTTAATTCAGGAAAGAGAATTTGAGTAGCCATTCTATAATATGAGTTATTATAGATTATCTCTCTCTCTTACATTCAGTTGCATCCGATACTCTTTGTTTGCCATTGTCTCCTTCCTAAAGCTGATTGACCCAAAATCCCCCAACTGGCTTTCATGCCTAAGGTATCATAGCTCCAACCGATGCCCTAATTAACTAACGAGCCTCGAGCCAAGCTTCAAAAGAAATCCAGTTATTAGGAGCTGTTTCAAGTGAAGCCAACTCTGACCCCACGTAATTTATGGCCCAATCTTGACCCTATTCCCCCCCCCCCCAAGGCTGTGTCATCAGTCACATTTGCCAAGGAGCAAGAGATCACTCCCCTCTGGCCACTGTTGGTAACCCTGGGAGACAGCCTTGAGAGAGAGATGTCTGGAATGTGGATCCCCCTTGCCTATGGCAACTCGAGAGCAGGCAAGGGATGCTTTGCGAGTTGACATAAGGTGAGACTAGAACTCACGTCTCCTAGTAGTTGGCCCAAAGTCACCCAGCTGGCTTTTATGCCTAAAATGGGACTAGAACTCAGTTTCTTTGTTTCTAGCCTTAACCACTACACAAAATCCCCCCCCCCAAAAAAGAGTTGTAGTTTGCTTCCTTAGTAGGCCTGACAGAGTATGATTGGTCTAAGATCACCTGACTGGCTTCATATGTAAAACAAGACTAGAACTCACGGTCTCCTCCTGAGTTCTAGCCTGCTACCTTAACCGCTACACCAAACTGTATCAAGAAGAAATAGATAGACTGAAGATAGATAGCTACCGTGTTTCCCCGAAAATAAGACCTTGTCTTATATTTTTTTGAACCCCGAAATAAGCGCTTGGCCTTATTTTCGGGGAGGTCTTATTATTTTGGGGCACATGGAGCAAGATCGAACTCCTTTTGCCATCTTACCTGATTCCCAGCACTGCGTTTAAATATTTTCCGGGAGGGCTTATTTTTGGGAGGAGGCTTATTTTAGTGCATGTGCTCAAAAGCCCGATTGGGCTTATTATCAGGGGATGAGCCAAGGTGGCGCAGAAGTTAGAGTGCAGTACTGCAGCTACTTCAGCTGACTGCTAGTTCAGCAGATCAGCGGATCAAGTCCCACTGGCTCAAGGTTGACTCAGCTTTCCATCCTTCCGAGGTGGGTAAAATGAGGACCCAGATTGTTGGGGGCAATATGCTATTTAGTATACTGTCTTTGGTGTATGCCGCCCAGAGTCCTCGGAGAGTGGGTGGCATAGAAATATTATTATTATTATTATTATTATTATTATTATTATTATTATTATTATTAATAATAATAATAATGTCTTATTTTTGGGGATAGATAGATAGATAGATAGATAATGATGAAGAAGACGAAGAGGAGGAAAGAAAGAAAAAGAAAGAAAGAAAGAAAGAAAGAAAGAAAGAAAGAAAGAAAGAAAGAAAGAAGAAAAGTGAGTGAGTGAGGAGGAGGAAGGAAGGTAAAAGGCAAGAAGGGAGAGAGGAAAGAAAGATAGAATATAATAATATATAAAGTATGATAATATATCTGATACCTTTGGAATATCATTCCTCCTGTGGTCAAATTGGCTCCAACTTTGATGACCTTCCAGTTCGAACAGTGTAGCTCTAGACAGCTCACCAGAAAGAAACGAATTTACTCAATCAACCATAACCACAACAAAAAACTCATTTGCCACCGGCCTTGCATTCCGACCAATTTTTCCGACTTTTTCTTGCAACCCCGCTGAAATTGTGACGTCGAATCCTTGAGGACGACTGGTGAGATTTCTTATTAGAGTCTGCTGGGAGACCAAAGAGATAAGAGGAATTAAACCCTCAAATAAGGGTTGGGGGCACCCAGAGCCAGCAAAAGGGCTCAGGAACTCTGCCAGTTGGTTCTCTCCCCGCCCCCCCCCCCGCCCCTGTAATATCCCAACTGCCTCCAGCTGTTGAAGTGATGTTTTTAAAAAGGAGTTTCCAGCCACAGATGGATAATATTGTGAGTGAGAAGGAGGTTCTCTAAGTTTCATAAAATAAATACAGGTAATCTAATCCTCGACTTGCGACAGTTCATTTAGTGATGGTTCAAAGTTACAACGGCACTGAAAAAAAACGACTTAGTTAGGACCGTTTCCCACACTTACGACCTTTGCAGCATTCCCCATGGTCACGTGATCAAAATTCAGATCGTTCCTATTTATGACGGTTCTGGTATTCTTGCGACCTTCTGATAAACCAAGCCAAGGGGGAAGCCAGATTCACTTAAGAATCGTGTGTTCCTAACTGAACAACTGCAATGATTCACTTAACAACTCTGGCAAGGAGGGCCGTAAAACGGGGAGCAAAATTCATTTAACAGCGTAGCCACAGAAATTTTGGGGCTCAGTTGTAAGTCGAGGACTGGCTGTAAATGAAAATATGGTATTTGAGAGGCCAGTCAAACGGCTTCCTTTATAAAACCTCTCCCCCCCTGTTCTTTTTGGCTCTTCCGCTCATCCACCCCACCCCTCCTTTGCAGGTTCAGCGTCTCAAATGATCTGAAATACGATGCCGAGAGGGACCTGAAGGATATCGATGCGCCTAACCTCCCTGTCCATGCTTTAAACAAGGTGGGTTTTTTCCCCCCTTTTGCTTCCTTTCTGTTCCCCCCACCCCCACCCCATCCTACCCCATGGGGAAAGTTGAGCGGGAGCACTGAGAACTCGGTACAAGAGATTCTGCATTTGCCCATATTTATCCCCGTTATGTTTGTTTATGATAAATAGATAGTTTCATTTAAAGGAAATTGAGATAATCACGGGCTCTCTTGAGTTTGGATGTTTTATTTGTGTTTTGGTGCTGTTCTAAGCCTTTGAGAATGTCATAGATTGGATGGCATTGCATAGTTATTGAGAGAAAGAGAGAAAAATGCCCCTTCCTTCCTTCCTTCCTTCCTTCCTTCCTTCACTAACTCACTCACTCACTCACTCCTTCTCTTCCTCTCTCCCTTTCCTTCCTTCACTCCTTCTCTCTCCCCTCCCTTCCTTCCTTCCTTCCATCCCTTCTCTCCCTTCCTCCTTCTCTTCTTCTCTTCCTCCCTCCCTCTCCTCCCTCCTTCCTTCCTTCCTTCACTCACTCACTCCTTCCCTCTCCTCCATCTCCTTCCTCCCTCCCTCCCTCCCTCCCCGTCCTTCTTTCTTTCCTTCCTTCTTTCCCTCCCTCCCTCCCTCCCTCATTTTGAGTGTTGATGTCCACGCATTTTAAAGTTGCCAAGGTTTGCCTGGATTGTCTGGAGTCACCTTTGATTTCTCTGCCTTGCTGGGAATTCTGGGAGTTGTACTCTGTATACATCTTAAAATTGCCAAGGCTGAGAAAGCATTTCCTGCACAGAGTGAGAAAGTCCAAATGCCCGACTGTGAGGAAGGAAGGTTCAACTATTCATTTTTGCAGACGTTCACCCAGACTGGGTCACCAATAGCCCTGCATTAAATATGTCAGTATGTTTGCCTGGCTGGGGAATTCTGGGAGTTGAAGTCCACCTGCCTTAAAGTTACCAAGGTTAAGGAAACACTGAAATATGTCATCCATGATCCACACACACACCCCCGAAGGACCTCGGTTAATTTACATGGGATGCATTTCTGTGTCTAAAATGTCAGCATTGTGAAAACCTCTCTCTCTCTCTCTCTCTCTCTCTCTTCTCTCTCTCTCTCTCTCTTCTCTCTCTCTCTCTGTCTCTCTCTCTCTCTCTCTCTCTCTCTCTCTCTCTCTCTTTTGCATTTTTAAAAATCTTTTCCTGATGTAGATTAAATACGGTGACACGGCTACCTCGGAGGGGATTTTATTCGCCACTTACTCCGCCTTGATCGGTGAAAGCCAAGCGGGCGGCCAGCACAGGACCAGGTTGAACCAGATTCTGGATTGGTGCAAGGACGATTTTGATGGTGTTGTATCCTAACAGAAATAAAACAGCCAGACTCTGTAGGTTTTGGGGCCTTGGCTAATACACAGGCTGCAGGTGGCCCTCGACTTACGACCATTTGTTTCCTGATAGTTAGAACAATTAATCAGAGGAACGACTTGCCTGCAGAAGTTGTGAATGCTCCAACACTAGGAGTTTTTAAGAAGAAATTAGATAACCATTTGTCTGAAGTGGTGTAGGGTTTCCTGCCTAAGCAGGGGGTTGGACTAGAAGACCTCCAAGGTCCCTTCCGACTCCGTTATTCTCTTCTCTTCTAAACCTAAACTCAGTGATCATTTGAAGTTACAACAGCGCTGAAAAAAGTGACTGATGACCATTTTTCACACTTAACGCCCATTGCAGCCATCCACGTGGTCACATGATCAAAATTCAGATGCTTAGCAACTGGCTCCTATTTATGACGGTTGCAGTGTCCCAGGTCAGGCGATCCCCCTTTGCGACCATCTGAGAAGCAAAGCCAGTGGGGAAGCCAGATTCACTTAACAACCGGGTTTCTAACTTAAACAACAGTGATTCCCTTAAAAACTGTGGCCAGAAAAGTCGTAAAATGTGACAAAACTCACTTAAGAACTGTCTCGCTTAGCAACAGAAATTTGGGGCTCAATTATGATTGTAAGTCAAGGACTATCTGTACTTTGGCCCTCCTTTTGGCGGCTTACAAATTATAAGTGTTGGATTTATCGACTGCTTTAACTTTTTCTTATTGCTTTACAACTGGGGGTAGTTTTTTCCCTCCCGAACTCAAATCGGGCTATTCATTTGTACTTTTGTGGCTGGATGCCATCTTGACTTTTTTGACCACATCTGCAGGCAGCCCTGCCCAGGATCGTGATTTACTCTCCTCTCCCTTGCCTTCAGAACTGGTTTGTTTTTTTTTTTTGTCATAAACCCCCTTCCTCTGTGTGCCAGGATCCCTCCATCCTTTTTGAATTGTTTCCCCTTAACGAGCCTTCCGCTCTCAGATTGTGTTCGACGAATGCCACAAAGCCAAAAATGCCAGCTCTACCAAGATGGGCAAAGCAGTATTGGACCTGCAGAAAAACCTGCCTCAGGCGAGAGTCGTCTACGCCAGTGCCACAGGTGAGCGATGCGCATCGTGCTGAGCACATTTTCAGGGAGGAGTCTATAGCCAGAGTATCCTCTCTGGGCAGCGCCAAATCAAGACGTATTGACACTTGGGGATAGACTATTTCTGGATGTCAAAGCTCCATTCCTAACTGTACCAGGGCAGCATGAACCCAGCTGGAGAAGGCCAGCCTCATCCACCATTTCTCTTCCACACGAGCTTCTTGTTTAACACACCTTTTTCCCCAAGTTTGTGTAGCCAGGCTAGCTCTGAACATCCGTTTCTGGGGAACAAAGGATGTTGTTGAGTGGACCTGAAGTTAGGAGGAATAGATAGGTAGGTAGGTAGGTAGGTAGGTAGAATGATAGGGAGGGAGGGAGGGAGGGAGAAAGAGAGAAAGAGAGACAAAGAAAAAAAGAGAGAGAGAAAGAAAGAGAGAAAGAGAGACAAAGAAAAAGAGAGAGAGAGAGAGAGAGAAAGAAAAAGAGAGACAAAGAAAAAGAGAAAGAAAGAGACAAAGAAAAAGAGAGAGAGAAAGAGAGAGAGACAAAGAAAGAGAGACAAAGAAAAAAGAGAAAGAGAGACAAAGAAAAAGAAAGAGAGAAAGAAGAGAGAGAGAGAAAGATAGATAATAGACAGACAGATAGATAGATAGATAGACTGGAATAGATTATAGATACAGATAGGTAGATAGATGATAGAGGTAGGTAGGCAGGCAGACACAGACGAGAGGAGAAGAGTTTCTCAAACTCAGCAACTTATTGTGGACTCCTAACTCCCAGAATTCCTCAGCTAGCATGAGAGTAGGTTGAAAGGATGTCCACACATCTTAAAGATGCCGAGAATGAAAAATGGAGGGAGGGAGGGAGGGAGGGGGGAGAAGGGGATGGATGGATGGTTGGAAAGGATAGATAGATAGATAGATAGATAGATAGATAGATAGATAGATAGATAGATAGATAGATAGATAGATAGAGGGAGGAGGGAGGGAAAGATGGACTGATCCACTGAAATAATGCATCTAACAATTCCTTCTCCAATCCAACCCACCGGCCTGTCTTCTTCTTCGGCAGGTGCCTCTGAGCCAAAGAATATGATTTACATGAGTCGGCTGGGGATATGGGGAGAAGGCACCCCCTTTCGCTCCTTTGAAGACTTCCTCCATGCCATTGAAAAGAGGTAAAGCTGCATCTGGTTATCACAGAACCCCAGAGTTTTGGGGGGGGGGGATCTCCTGGAGCACCTCTAGCAGATGACACCTCCCCTCCTTCCTCTATTTCAAGACCTCTAGTGAAAGAGAAGTCCCCAGTTCATGAGGCAGCCTGTTCCATTGGCCCAACAGTTCCTCTTGATGTTTGGTCTGAATGGCCTCCCTTGTAGGTAATGCCTCTGGGGCAGTGGTGGGATTCAAATAATTTAACAACCGGTTCTCTGCCCTAATGATCGGCTGGGTGGGCGTGGCATGGTGGGCGAGGCCATGGGGGTATGACAGGCAGCAGTCGGCCTCCTGCACCCCCCTGGGAGCAAAAACAGGCCGTGGGAGGAGGGGGTGGAATGCACCGCCCCATGCACCCTATTTTGGGCCTAGGAGGCCTCCCTGCACTTACCTGGGAACCAAATGGGGCGCGTGGGGACTCGGAAGGAGAGGGGCCAGCCACCAATTTAACTACCGGTTTACCCAAACCGGCTGAATCCCACCACTGCTCTGGGGCATTAAAAATAAACCCACTGCATTTTCCATCTGACAATTTTTTTAGATTTGAATGCTAAAACTGACCCAAGCTCTCTTTTCAACCTGGACAAGGATATTATTTTGACCTAACTTCACTTATCTCCACCAACATTTTATCAGGCTGCAAACGCTGTTGCAGTTGTTTGTGTGGCCTTATCTTTGTTTGATCTGTTTGACTTGTGTGTCTGGCCTTTGACAGGCGTGGGAGTTTTATACCTAGCGATGTATTTTTCTAACAAACATTGACATCACTCTCTATCTCAAAACTCTGCTTGTAGTGTTTATTCCGATTTGATTATCTTCTTTTGGGGAAAAAGGGCTTATAAATATGAATGAATGAATGAAAGAATGAATGAACGGTCTTGTGGTGGTGATGGAAAATCCGCAGCTCCAAAGGTCATCTGTATCTCTTGTCTTCCTCCTCCGCAGAGGTGTTGGGGCAATGGAGATCGTTGCCATGGATATGAAAGTGAATGGGATGTACATCGCTCGACAGCTCAGCTTTTCTGGAGTCACTTTCCGGATAGAAGAAATCCCACTGGACGCGGCATATAAGGACGTGTACAACAAGGCAGCGAAGCTGGTAAGCTTTTATGCTTCGGGGCTGTCTGATATAGCTGGACTCATTTGCTTGAGCCACCTGGAATCTATGGTCAGCTGATTTCTATAGACTAGGAATAGGAATAGGAATAGGAATAGGATGGCGGAGTTGATAGCAGATGTACTTCAACAAGACAAACAGGCGATAATTAGAGAGTTGGACGACGTATATAGGGTCCAGACAAATTATGCAAGAAGGAACAAGCTCCCTAGGGAAGTACATGTCCGCTTTGCAAGGAAAAAAGTAAAAGACATTCTATACAACATGACAAGAGAGGAACAGATAACGTATCGAGAAAAAGAAATAATAATCCTAAAACAGATACCAAGAAGAGTTCGGGAGATAAGAAAGGGATATAGATTTCTAGCAGTACAGTTGAATAAAAGAAATATACTATTCAGGTGGCTCCTTCCAGAAGGGATGCTAATAACCTGGCAAGGAAGAAAAATTAAAATAGAGAGCCTGAGTATAGCACAAGACTTCCTTGACCAGTTGAGAGGTGTGGAAGAAGAGCAGGGTACATTAAAAATACATTCACCAAGAATCATAAGATATAACTCTTAGTGCAGAGGTGTCAAACTCAAGACCCAGGGGCCGGATCCAGTCTGTGGGGTGCTTAGATCTGGCCCACAGGGCCGCCCTTGAAACAACGAAGGACCGCCATGCGGTGCCTCTGCCACAGGCGGCCCTCCCAAGCTCTGTTTTCGCTGGCATAGGGTTGCAGGAGGCCGTCGCAGCCGAAACAGAGATTGGGAGCCCATTTTCGCTGACAGAGCACTTGGGACACCATAAGCGCCGACACGAGTGACATCGAGCTGGCCACAGCCCCCCCCAGCCTCCCAAGGTCAAACAGAACCCTGATGCAAATCAAGTTTGACATCCCTGAGTTAGTGATAGTCATAGGATACTAAATATTTATTTATTTATTTATTTATTTTATTTGTTTCCATTTCTATACCGCCCTTCTCCAAATAGGACTCAGGGCGGTGAACAGCCAAAGTAAAAAACAGAGCATACAAAATTTAAAAACAGTATTAAAATAATTAAATATTATTTAATTATTTAATTATTATTAATATTAAATAAAATCGTCGGGCCCTGAAATAAGCAATCAAATAAGCAATTGATTAAATTGAATTGATTAAATTAAATTGATTAAATTAAATTGATTAAATAAGCAATCAAATCTTACTAGGAAACTAAATAAAACAATATAAATCATAAAGCTACAAGCAACAAGATTATAGTCATGAGGAGATAGGTAATAGAAAGGAAGAGAAGAGTAATAGTAATACAATCTTAGTAAATAGTTTGACAGTGTTGTGGGAATTTGTTGTTTAGCAGAGTGATGGAATTCAGGGAAAAACCGTCCTTGTGTCTCATTGTTCTGGTGTGCAGTGCTCTAGAGCGTCGTTTTGAGGGTAGGAGTTGAAAGAGTTTATGTCCAGGATGTGAGAGGTCTGTAAATATTTTCACAGTCTTCTTTTTGACTCGTGCAGTATACAGGTCCTCCTTGGAAGGCAGGTTGGTAGTCATTGTTTTTTCTGCAGTTCTAATTATCCTCTGAAGTCTGTGTCTGTCTTGTTGGGTTGCAGAGGCAAACCAGACAGTTATAGAGGTGCAGATGACAGACTCAATAATTCCTCTGTAGAACTGGATCAGCAGCTCCTTGGGCAGTTTGAGCTTCCTGAGTTGGCGCAGAAAGAACATTCTTTGTTGTGCTTTTTCGATGACGTTTTTGATGTTGGGTGTCCATTTTAGGTCGTGGGTTTTGTAACACTGTTGAACTGGCCTTCCTTGAAGCTCCTCTATTTTGCTAGGTGCAGGGATCTCTTGCTTAAGCAGGGGGTTGGACTAGAAGATCTCCAAGGTCCCTTCCAACTCAGTTACTCTGTTGCAAGTTGTAGAGCTACCACTGTAGCTGGTTTGGAAGAGGGGAGCCCAGGGAATGGACCCCCTCAGCGTCTCTTGGGTCCCTCATTGGGGTTTTGGGACAGTATGGCATAGTGGTTAGAGAAGGAGCCGTGAGTTTTGGGTCCAAATCTCTGCTTAGCCCCAGAAACCCTCAAAGGGAACTTTTGGGCCAGACCCTCCCTCAGCCCAAGAACCAATGAAGCATAGTTGGGGAAAAGGCTGGTCTAGGAGGAGGGAGATCCAGACTCTACTCCTCCATTAGATGCAGAAGCTCATTGGCTGACTTGGGGCCAGTCCCTCCCATTTAGCGAGGAACTAGGAGAGGGAAAATCTAGTTTCTCCGCCCCTTCCTCCCTTAGCCGAGGAAACTCATTGGCTGATTCTGGGCCGGCCCCTCCCGCCCAGCCCAGGAGTCAATCAGGTATATAGGGCAAAAAAATAATTCTAAATTGTTTTTCTAAATAAATAAAATAATAAAATAAATAAGCTGACTTTGTATAAAATATACAAAAGTATGAAGGCTATTGCTTAACACATTGTAAGCCGCCCTGAGTCTCCGGAGAAGGGCGGCATATAAATCAAATTAAAATAATAATAATAATAATAAAAAAATGGATTAGAAGTGGGAGGACCCAGATTCTAATCCCTCCTCAAATACAGATGCTCATTGGTCCAGATCCTTGTGCTCCTCTCAAACCCATTGGCTGACTCTGGGCTGGACCCTCCCTCTCAGCCCAAGAACCAATCAGATATATAGGACAAAAAAGATAGATTAGGAGTGGGAGGGGCCAGGTTCTAATCCCTCCTCAGACATGGAAGCTCATTGGCTGGTTTTGGGCCGGTCCCTCCCCTCTCACAAGGTTAGATCTACTAAATAAAATCCTGAAAATGCTGTTATAACTGCTAAATAAAACATCCTCTCTCCCCCTCCCCCCTTCTCGGCAGTGGGCAGAAGCCCTGGTGGTTTTCCAAAAGGCTGCGGACCTCATTGGCCTGGAGTCCCGGAAGTCTCTCTGGGGTCAGTTCTGGGGGGCTCACCAGCGCTTCTTCAAGTACCTCTGCATTGCTGCCAAAGTCCGGCGTCTGGTGGAGCTGGCCAAGGAGGAGCTCAGCAAGGGCAAGGTGAGGAAGGAGAACTTAGGAGCCTGCCCTTTCCTTTAGCTCTGCCTCTGATCGCTCATGAATGTGAGCGAGAAGAACAAGAGCAGATTTTCTTTGAATTGACCATTCAAATATTCTCCTTTTCCTCCTCCTCCTCCTTTTCCTCTTCTTCCTCCTTTTCCTTTTCCTTCTCCTTTCCCTCCCTCCCTCCTCCTCCTTCTCTTCCTTCTCCTTCTCTTTCTTCCTCTTCCTCTTTTCCTTTCCTCACTTCTTCCTCCTCATCTTACTTCTCTTCCTCCTCGCCTTCCTCCTCCTTTACCTCCTTCCCATTTCCTTCTCCCCTTCTTCTTCCTCCACTCTCTCCTTTTACTCCTCCTTCTCATTCTTCTTCTCTTTCCGTCTCCCCTTTTCCTCCTTCTCCACCTCTCTTCCTCCTTCTCTTTTTCCTCTTCCTCCTTTTCCTTCTCATTCTCCTTTCCCTCCCTCCTCCTCTTCCTTTTGTTTCTCTTCCTTCTCCTCCTCTCCCTTTCTTCCTCTGCCTTCTTCCTTCTCCCTGTCCTTTTCCTTCTCACTTCTTCCTCCTCATCTTACTTCTCCTCCCCCCTTCCTCCGCCTTTACTCCTTCCCATTTCCTTTCTCCCTCTTCCTTCTCTGTCTCCTTTTCCTCCTCCTCCTCCTCCTTCTCCTTCTCTTTCCCTCCCCCTCTTCTCCTTCTCCTCCACCTCTCTTCCTCCTTCTCTTTTTCCTCTTCTTCCTCCTTTTCCTTTTCCTTCTCCTTTCCCTCCCTCTCCTCCTCTTCCTTTTCCTTATCTTCTCCTATTTCTTCCTCCTCCTCCTCCTCTTCCTTTTCCTTCTCAACTCTTCCTCCTCATTTTACTTCTCCTCTTCCTCCCCTCCCTCTTCCTTTACCTCCTTCCCATTTCCCTTCTCCCTTTCCTCTTCCTCCTCTGTCTCCTTTTCCTCCTTCTCCTTCCCCTTCTCCCCCACTCTTCCTCCATCACTTTCGATTCCTGAGTTTTATCAGCCAGTTCTGTTCCACATCTTGATGTTTGTTCTTTTCCACATGCTGCCCATCCTTGGTCTCATTTCTGCCCGGCTTGCCTTCCGCAGTGCGTGGTGATCGGGTTGCAGTCGACGGGGGAAGCGCGCACCCGGGAAGTTCTGGACGAGAACGAAGGGCACCTGAACTGCTTTGTGTCGGCAGCCGAGTGAGTTTTCCATTGGGAGGATGCACGTTTTGTAAACTCTAGCACCGTCCCGGCCCAAGATGTTGGGGCTATAACCCCCAAAATTCTGCAGAAAGCACGGAGGGAACCCCGAAGGTCACTGCTCCGTTGCATTCTGATAAAGGCAGGCATCTATGGACGTTACCCTTCATGCGGCTTTAAGAATTGCCCCCAGAGATACGTATGATCCCCGACCTACGTACCTTTCGCCATGCCCTTAAGACTTTACTGTTTGAACAGGCTGGGCTGGCTTAAATAATGAATTTTAATGGGTGTTTTAGGTTTTTGGTTTTTAATATACGGGCCAAATTATTTAATATGTTTTAAACTGTTTTTAAATTTTCTGGAGAGATGTTGTCTTTTTATTGTGGCTGTGCACCGCCCTGAGTCCCTCGGGCGAAGGGCGGTATAAAAATTCAAATAATAAATAAAATAAATAAATAAGAAACCCGGAACATCCTTTCCATCATTGGCATTCTCAGAGAAGCTGCCCTTCCTTTTGGTCTTTTATTGGCATCCATGGAAATGCAATCAATTGGCTGCCCTAGAGATTCTCAACCTCTGCAACTTCTGTCTGAAACAAGCCGCTAAGCTCAGGCCACACCATTCCCACAGCCACCTCATTTTGGTGTTTTTGTTTTGTTTTTTCTGAGTGTGTGTGCTCACTGCTTTCTCCATGACCTACCGTGCATTTGGGGAGGTGGGGATAAAGATGGGAGACATCTCAAGGGCATTTCCCCCCCCCTCCCCAAAAGCTCTGTCATCAACATTGAGTCCATCCTACCACAACCCTCTTTCCCCTCCCCCTCCGCCCTTTGCATTGTTTAGTCCTTTCCTATCTGGTCTTGTGAAGACTCCTGTCTGTAGCCAAGCAAGAAGGACAAAGCATAAAGGTTGCCTAATTTGGAAGAGAGTACATCGTTGTCCGTCCTTCTCATCAGCTGCTTGCTTTTATAGGGCCTTACATCAGGGGTGAACCTACTGGAAGTACCAGAAGTCCAAAAACAGGCCAATTTCTGGCCTCCGGAGTCTAGGGAGGGCGAAAACACACCCTCCCCCTCGGTGGTGCAGGAGGCCGAGTAGGCCACGCCCACCATGCCCCCCACCCACCCAGCACCTGGGCAGACAACCAGTTGCTAAAATTTCTGAATCCCACCCCTGCCCACAATGCCTATATATCGTAGGCAGCACTGCAAAAAAACAAATGCACACTTATTTTTGAAAGAGTAATGGCTACCGATTTTAGTGCGGCTAAACAAATGCAGGTTCAAGACTCTGGACCCTTTATTTTGCAAAATTTTTTTAAAAAAACCCTGTCCCTCCTCTGCAGCGCTGAGCTTCCTTTAGGTTGTTCTGTTTTAAGCTTTGATTTTTTTTCTCTGTGCCTTTTTTTGTTGTTGATGTTCATTTTCAAGTGAGCAGTTCGGTGTCCTGGGCAGCTAGAATAAAAATATCCCCTCTTAACTTTCAGAGGCGTCTTCCTTTCACTAATTCGGAAGCACTTTCCTTCAACCAAACGAAAAAGAGAAAGAGGAAGTATCAATAAAAGAAAACGTAAGATCCTTCTTATCCTCACCCCCTCACCCCTTTCCCCCCCTTAAACAAAATCCTGATATCTCGGACCTTCTGCGGGGCACCCGCAGTTTGTATCCTGTTCTCTCCCTCCTCATCCTGTCCCCATTTTCCCCCATTCCTCCATTTTGCTCTTCCAAACTTCTTTTCTTTTTCACTGTTTTTTACTTTCTAGCTGTTTCATCCCTTCATTTGCGGCCAGGGCTTGTTCTAGGTCTGCTGTGCTTTTCACATTCACACAATTTCTGGCGCCTTTTCCCATCTAATCCTGGCTTGTAGTCTCCCTTCCTCCTGACCCAGGGGGTGAAGATCCTGTCATGTCCCAAAAGTTTCTGATTTATGGGTAGTCCTTGACTTAACGACTTTAATTGGGACCAGCATTTTCATTGCTTAAGGAAGGCAGTGGTTAAGTGAGTTTGCACCCAATTTTATAATGCTTTATTTTAGCCGTGGTTGAAAGGCATGAAAGCCAGGGTGGATAAAAGTCAATGATTTTTTAAAAAAAATCAAAAAAATCAGATTTTTTTTATTTAAATTGGATTTTTTTTATTTAAATCGGATTTTTTTGATTTTTATCGAATTTATTTTAATAAAAAACTTTTGGGGTAAAAATCTATCGTAAGATAGTTTTCTATTTAAGATACATAAATAATTTATTTTATTCAGCATGAAATAGAGCTTAGTTATGTAGCATGAGGCTGTATATTCTGCAACACTGGGACTATCGGTGAGTCAACAGTGGGTCAAAGGAGTAGCAGAGATGACAGTTGCTCTTTAAAAATTATGATTTAAATCGAGTTGATTTAAATCAAGCCTTTTTACTAGTGATTTAAATCATGATTTAAATTGTGATTTAAATCAACTCGATTTAAATCAGATCCACCCTGATGAAAGCCAACTGGGATATTTTCAGCCAATCACCAAGAGAGAATGAGGTCTCGTCCCATTTAGGCACAAAAGCCAGTTGTGTGATTTTGAGCCAATCACCAGGAGACAGTGAGTTCTAGTCCCGCCTAAGTGAATCCTACCTCTCTTTGAGGGAATCGCCCCGTGTTTCGCCTGTGCTGCTCCATTTTTCAGCTGCTTAGGAATTAATATAGAAAGTCCTCGCATACGACTGCCTAGTTCCGTGATCATTCAAAGTTATGATGGGGCTGAAAAAAGTAGATTTACAATCGGTCCTCGAATTCGTGCTATGGCAGAATCCTGCGGTCAGGGGGTTGCCCTTTGGGTGCTTAGCAACCAATGCACATCAACAAACAGTTGCCGTGTCCATGGTCCCACAATTTTCCATTTGCAACCCTCACTGCTGGCTTCCGACAAGCATAGTCAATGGGGAAGCCAGCGGGAAGCCTCAGGTCCACAGTCACACGACATCACGTTTAACAGCTGCGGCCAGAATAGATGCAAGTTGGCACAGTCACATGACATTTCAATTAGTGACGGAGTTGCTGGTCCCAGTTGTGGTTGGTAAGTGAGGACTGCTTTAATTCTTGTACACACAGCGGCAAGATGCTACAGAGAGCTAAGAAGCAGCATTAACATAAATATGTAACCGTAAGAGAGGCAAGGGCCAATTTGGTAGAGTGGTTTAAGGGATTGGGTTAGAAACCAGGAGACCCTGAGTTCTAGTCCTGCCTTAGGCATGAAAGCCAGGGTGGATAAAAGTCAATGATTTTTTTTAAAAAAAATAAAAAATCAGATTTTGTTGATTTAAATCGGATTTTTTTGATTTAAATCGGATTTTTTTTTTTGATTTATAAAATTTAGTTTAATAAGAAACTTTTGGGGTTAAAAATCTATCGTAAGATAGTTTTCTATTTAAGATACATAAATAATTTAGTTTATTCAGCATGAAATGGGAGCTTAGTTATGTAGCATGAGGCTGTATATTCTGCAACACTGGGACTATCGGTGAGTCAACAGCGGGTCAAAGGAGTAGCAGAGATGACAGTTGCTCTTTTAAAAATTATGATTTAAATCGAGTTGATTTAAATCAAGCCTTTTTACTAGTGATTTAATCATGATTTAAATTGTGATTAAATCAACTCGATTTAAATCAGATCCACCCTGATGAAAGCAACTGGGATATTTTCAGCCAATCACCAAGAGAGAATTGAGGTCTCGTCCCATTTAGGCACAAAAGCCAGTTGTGTGATTTTGAGCCAATCACCAGGAGACAGTGAGTTCTAGTCCCGCCTTAGGCACAAAAGCCAGCTAGGTGATTTTGAGCCGATCAAGGTGATCATGAGTTCTAGTCCCGCCTTAGGCAGAAAAGCCAGCTTGGGTGGCCTTGGGCCTATCCCTCCCAGGAAAACTGCAGCCGAGAATCAGGCACGATTGAGCAGAAAGAAAAAAATAAATAAGACGAATAATTTCAGTTCAAGAACCAGTACCTCGGGGTGAACGTTGGATTAGAATTATACCCTCTGAGATCCTAGTTTTTCTGTCTTCAATCATCCAGCTTTTGTCTGGCAGCTTCGTGGACTTGATAACGCCCTGTCCAAAACGATGCAGCCAAAGCGCAGGTTTTCTCGTCTCCATTGCTAAGCCTTGCAAATTGCACTGCTTCTCCCTGCCTTCCTTCTGCATCTGTCTAAAGCCAGTGTTTTTCAACATCAAACTCAATTTCATTGAGGGCTGCATCAGGGTTGTGTTTGACCTTCGAGGGTCAGGTGGGGGTGGGGGTGGGTGTTGGTGGGGGTGGCCAGTTCGACGGAGGCCGTCACAGCTGAAAACAGGGCTCGGGGGGTGCACACACACCCTGCCCCTCCAAGCTCCGTTTTTGCTGGCAGAGGCACCACGAGCCGGTCCTTTTACTGTTTCTAGGCTGGATCTGGCCCACGGGCCTTGGGTTTGACATCTCTGCTTACCGTGAACAACTTTAAGATGGGTGGACTTCAACTCCCAGAATTCTTCAGTCAGTGTGCTGACTGGGGAATTCTGGGAGTCGAAGTCCACTCGTCTGGAAAGTTGCTCAAGTTGAGAAACTCCGATCTGAATTGAATTGGTCTTTCAATCCTTCCTGGGTTTGTTTGGTTTTTTTTTCCCCCCCTCCAGTAAAGCAGAGAGTCCGAGGCCTTAACAAAGTGATGCGAATCGCCCACGACCACTACAGCAGTAGCAACGACATCATCAAGATCAGCTCCGAGAGCAGCACGGATTCTGAGCCAGGTTTGGAGAGCGATTTCAATTCCTCTCCGGAGTCCCTGGTGGAAATGGAGGACGTGGCCAGCAGATACAAACCCATCAATGGCGCCATGTGTAATGATCCAAGTAAGTGTTCTGACCGGGCTCCCAAACACGACAAGCTGGGGGGTTTGGGAGAACCTCTAACTAAGATTCTGTGCAGTTTGGAGAACCCCCAAATCCCACTCCAAAGCACCTGAAGGCAGGACAAGAAGCAATGGATGGAAAGTAATCAAGGAAAGAAGCAACTGAGAACTAAGGAGAAATTTCCTGACAGTGAGAACAATTCATCAGTGGAAGAGCTTGCCTCCAGAAGTTGTGGGTGCTTCCATCACTGGAAGTTTTTAAGAAGAGACTGGACAGCCATTTGTCTGAAATGGTATAGGGCAGTGATGGCTAACCTTTTTGCCATCGCATGCCAGGAAGGGGTGGGGTGGGGGAGGTTTGCTCATGCGTGTGCCCACACCCATAATTCTATGTGCCCCGCCACGCACATGCAAGCGCGACTCCCCTTCCCCCCCCCACTCCTGGCACGCCCATTTTTCTGTCTCACCTGACTCCAGATCCTCTCTATGCATCTGGGGGGGGTGAAAACAGCCTTCCCCACCCCCTCGGAGGCAGGAAGTTGAGAAACGGGCCGTTTCGGGCCTCCGAGGGGGTGGGAAAGGCTGTTTTCACCCTCCCCAGATGCATAGAGAGGATCTGGAGCCAGGGGAGAAAGAAAAATGGGCCTTCCCCCCCCGCCAGGCCCTCTTCTGGTGGGCCCAAACAGGCCGAAAATCAGCTGACAGAGCTAAGCTGGCGTGCCAGGCAACATGACTCCGCGTGCCACAGGTTCGCCATCACAGGTATAGGGTTTCCTGCCAAAGCAGGGGGTTGGACTAGAAGACCTCCAAGGCCCCTTCCAACTCTTCTCTTCTACTCTACTCTACTCTACTCTACTCTACTCTACTCTACTCTACTCTACTCTACTCTACTCATTCTACAACTGATGCAAGCCACAAGGCTACCATTGCCCTACTCCGCCTTCCTGTTTTCCTCTCTCCGAAAAGAGAAGAAGAGCTACAATCTCTTTCTCCTCCCCTTTACAGTTGGCCTATATTGGCCGAACCACCAAAAGGAGATGAACGGATCAGGGACTCCGGAATGCGTGGAGAGCATGAAGCAGGAACTGCTGTCTCAAGTGAAGGAATTGGGCAAAGAGCTACCTCTTAACACTTTGGACGAGCTGATCGACTACTTTGGAGGCCCAGAAAAAGTAGCAGAGGTAAAACATTAGGGACCAGAGAAAGGGGAAGCGTCACAAAAGGATTTTTGACTTCTATGCCTCACAAAATCAAATCACACTCAGATGGCCTATGCCATGAGTCTCCAAAGTTGGCCACTTTAAGACTTGTGGACTTCAACTCCCAGAATTCCTGAGCCAGCCATGGCTGTCTGAGGAATTCTGGGAGTTGAAGTCCACAAGAATGGCTGGCTGAGGAATTCTGGGAGTTGAAGTCCACAAGTGTTAAAGTGGCCAACTTTGGAGACCCCTGACCCGTATCTTTGATATATAAAGGCATTAGAGACGGTGCAGAATTAGCATTGCTTCAGAGAGAAGTTATTTTGTGGGGTTCTTGGTGCACTCTGAGCTTGGTCGTTTCCTTGCAGACATTTCACGACCCAGCTAGGTTACATCATCAGCGCTAGGGAGAGGTTTGCTTCCTATTTATATACGGTAACTGGCTCTGCCAAGGTTCTTGATCAGTTCTTCTCCATTTAAAGTTAAGCTTTCCTCTATTTCAGCTTTTGGCAGAGCCGCCCCATTTAAAATCAACTGGGAGAAAGTGTGAGAGCAGAGACTCGTACAGAGATAGATCAGGCACCCACCTTCATAGGAAGGAGCCATGAACTTAGTGACTCCACTCATTTGTTTCAAAAGCAACCTTACCTTCTTGAGATCCTGGGTTCAGGATCTCCTTCATGAAAGAGAATCTGGGAAAATCCTTGCCTGAAAAGATCATCTTGGTGTGAACTATTTGTTTGTTTGTTTAAATTTCTATGCCACCCATCTCCCTTACAAGGATCTAGGACAGGGGTGTCAAACTCAATTTCATTGAGAGCTGCGTCAGGGTTGTGTTTGACCTCTTGGCGCCGGGGTGGGCGTGGCCAGCTCAACGTCACACGTGTCGGGGGCGCCTGTGGCGGCCCGAGCACTCTGCCAGCGAAAACGGGCTCCCGAGCTCCGTTTTCAGCTGTCAGGGCCTCCTACAACCCGCTGCGAGCGAAAACGGAGCTCAGTGTCAGACTTCGATGCTATCTCAAAATAAATGAATTTCCAAACTGCCAATCTTTAAGGAAATCTTTTCTTTAATTGAGCACAGCCACCGGATCATGACTCGATGCGGACAAGACTGACCTTTTGCCCCCCAATCCCTCCCTTTCCGATCCCCAAATCTCTTTCTCATTGGCTATCTTCCAAGTCATTCTTCAGACTTCTTGTCTCGTCATTTCCCAGGAATGTCTCCCCCTTTCATTTCCACGACAACCCGACTTCAAAGGGATTTAGCAGGCAAAAGTTCAGAGCTTATCTCTCTCTCTCCTCTGCTCTCTATGCCAGCGTCGAAGCGCTGACATCCAGGAGGACTGCCTGCGGCCCTCCCGAGCTCCATTTTCTCTGGCAGAGGCACCACGGGCCGGTCCTTCACTGTTTCCAGGGTGGCCTCATGGGCCAGATCTGACAACCCCATTGGCTGGATCCACCCACCGCCCCTGGGCTTTGACTTTGACACACCTAGGATCTAGGGCACACCTAGGATCTAGGACAACTCGCCACGGCCAACTTGCTGTGGGACAGCTCTCAACGAGACAAGAGTTACACTAACATCGAAGAAATGGTGGAATAGAATCATGAAAGAAAGGATGCCAAAGGAGGGACAAAATGAGATGCGAACGACAGAAATGAAAACATATTTTTAAAATTATTTTAAATAATTGAATTGCTGAATGGCCTCACGGCAAATTGTCCCGTAGCGAATTGGCGACAGTTGAGTTGTCCATGGCATGTTGACTGCGGCGAGTTGTCCCCTTGCATCCTTGCAGGGTGACTGTGGCCGGCTACGCTTTTCTCAGGGATAGATAGATGAAATAGATTCAATTAATTAATTAGATACGATTTGCCCATCTGAAATAACGTGATTTGGGGCGGCTAACCGTTCAAAGCGAAATAAAAACCGTAAGCAAAACTATACACAATGCCATCAAAGAACAGCCACGCCTCACAGACGTCCACACAGCCACAAAACAGGGTCAACTCCCGTGTCCCCTTTTCCCTCTCGGACAGATGACCGGGCGGAAGGGACGAGTCGTGCGGAGGCCCGGTGGCTCCGTGGTGTTTGAATCGCGAGCTGAGCAAGGCCTTTCGATTGACCACGTGAACCTCAAGGAGAAGGAGCGTTTCATGAATGGAGACAAAGTGAGTGCTGGTGGGGGGCGGGGGGGGGGCTGCCCAGGGGGGCTGCCCAGGAATGGGATGGGGAGGGACCCCACCTTGCCAGAGTCATGAGAGGCATTGGACCCCTCTGTGTTTTGACCTCGAGCTCCCCATGGCTGGAGAAGATCAAAGAAGCAGTGGTTTCTCTTGAGTGCTCATGCAGGCTGAATGCAGGTAGTCCTCACTTAAGGACCGACCGCTCAGAGATTGTTAGAAGTCGATAGAGGAAAATATTTGTAGCTCAGGGTTGAAATGAAACGAGGGGTCCTTGGTGCTCTGTGAGCTTGGTGGCTTTCGTGCAAACCCAGCTAGGTATCGTTGTGACCTAGGCTTACTGAGTCATTACAATACACAATTAGCCCCAAACAAACCTATTTTATTTTAACAGCTGAGAATTACGCTCATTCCCAGTTTAGCCCAAATTAATTCCAAAACAAGTCCTTTGGAAGAAGTCCTTCGAGATAATCACCAACCTTTATCTTCTTTGACACCCTGCCAAAGGCCTTACTTGGCAAAGCCCCACAAAATTCAGAAATAAACAAGAGACGCCGACTGGAAACAAAGTTAGCAACGTTGCTTTGCTGCAAAAAGGCCCAAATGCCTCTGTTTCTCTTTTAAGCCTTATGGGAGGGGCCACTCATCTCCTGGCCTTACTCCTGAGTCGTCCCTTTTGCTTTAGCTGCTCTTGCCTTTTGGCAGCTCTGTGCATGTGTGCACTAGGAACAGGCTCCTCCTGTTCCTCTGCCTCTCTGCTGTCCGACTCTGGGGGCTGTGGAGTCCCCGCATCACTCCCAGATGGCCCAGGCCCCATCTCTGCCTCCGATGCAGAGCCCTCGTCCGAGCCTTCCCCAGACTCCAGGACTGGCCCATGTTCCTCCCCAGCCTCCTCACTGTCTGACTCCACTGCCAGCTCCTCAACAGGTAGCATCATCAGTGCTAGTAGGGAGTGGGGTTTGCTCTCAATTTATACTCTAGTGGCTTGCCCTGTTAGTGTTGCTGGGGGTGGTCTTGGCGGTTCCTTGATTAGGCAGTTGTGTACTGTGGGACCCTTGGCACTCTCTGAGCTTGGTTGTTTTCTTGCAGACATTTCACTACCCAACTAGGTAACATTATCAGTTTATATTCTAGTGGTATTGATGGGAGTGGTCTTGGCAGTTCCTTGATTGGGTTGTTTACTATTAGCTTGTTTGGCAGTTCCTCGATTGGGGTATTAGTATATGAGCCACGGTGGCGCAATGGTTAGAGTGCTGTACTGCAGGCTACTTCTGCTGACTGCCAGCTGCCTGCAGTTTGGCAGTTCAAATCTCACCAGGCTCAAGATTGACTCAGCCTCCTTATCCCCCCCTTTGCAAACGATTCAACTCCACTTTCCATTTGAAAATGCACACTTCCCCCTGCCCGACGTAGCTCACAGGGCAGGGGTTGAGCCAACTTGCTTGAAAACATTAAGGAGGCTGCCATGTTCCAAAAATCCAGCTGAGAAAATTGACTCTCTTCTCTCTCTCTCTCTGTCTCTCTCTTAGCTCGTAGCAATAATCTCGGAGGCCTCCAGCTCAGGGATTTCTCTCCAAGCAGACAGACGGGTAAAGAATCAGAAACGGCGGGTCCACATGACGCTGGAATTGCCCTGGAGTGCTGACCGAGCCATACAGCAGTTTGGTAAGACACTCAAGCTAGCTTTGGTGTCTCCTGTAGGAATGTCCAGAAGTAGGAAATCTAGTGTAGCAAAAAGAAGGACTAGGGGTGACATGATAGCAGTTGTTGTGACCCCGACTCCCGAGCCTGTCCTAACAGAGGAAGAGGACTCAGAAGGTGATGGGGAGGAACTGATAAGGCTTCCCTCTCCAGGACCCTCCTCTCTGGCAATGCCTCAGGTTCCATCCGAAGGCCAGGAGGAACAGCCTGGGATGTGCCAGGAGGAAGGCATATCGGAACAACAACAGATAGGGAGCGAGGATGATGAATCCTGGCTTGATCCCAGGCAGCGTCGGAGGGAGAAGCGTGCGCAGCAAAGAAAGAGGCGTGGGAGGGCCAGAGATTGAGCTGAGTCACTGAGCCACACCCCACAAGGGATAAAAGTGGGTGTGATTGCTCTTCAGGCTTTGTGACGGTCAAAGTTAAAAACCTGAGAGTCACATCATGTTACCTGAAATCTGGCTTGTGCATATTTGGATTGGACCTTGGCAAACTATTGCTTCATGGATTGCTTTTTGCTACTGAATCGGACTGAGGATAAACTCTCTCTTGCTTACTGTGAGTGAAAACTGACTTGGCAGGCATTTCGCAGTTTTCTGCCAAAACTCTTCATCTGCATGGGTTTCTAGTCTGATTGCTTAATAAAATCTTGGCAGGCGTGCCTGGTTGTGTGTTTGCCTGTGTGGGGAAGGGGGACAGAACAGCAGTCTTCCAGTATCTCAGGGGCTGCCACAAAGAAAAGAGAGTCAAGCTACCGTATTTTTCGGAGTTTAAGACACTCAGGACTATAAGACGCACCTACCTTTTTTGGTGAGGAAAACAAGAAAAAGAAATCTGCCTCTGCCTCTGCCTCCCAGCAATTTTGCCTCATTGCAGCAAACAGCAAAGCTGGATTGTGCTGTGGGATGGTCCATTCACAACATATGAAGAACGGCTGCAGGATTTGGGTTTGGCTAATCAAAAGAAAAGAAGAATTAGGGGTGACATGATAGCAGTATTCCAGTATTTGAGGGGCTGCCCCAAAGAAGAGGGGATCAAATTATTCTCCAAAGCACCAGAGGGCAGGACAAGAAACAATTGGTTGGAAGCAAATCAAAGAGAGAAGCAACCGGGAATTCAGGAGAAACTTCCTAACGGTGAGGACAATTAACCAGTGGAATGCGTTGCCTTCAGAAACTGTGGGTGCTCCATCACTGGAGGTTTTTAAGAAAAGATTGGACAACCATTTGTCTGAAATGGTACGTGGTTTCCTGCTTGAGCAGGAGGTTGGACTAGAAGACCTCCAAGGTCCCTTCCAACTCTGTTATTCTGAGGCAGATGAAGAACAGTTGCAGGAATTGGATATGTCTCGTCTAGTGAAAAGAAGGACTAAGGATGACATGATAGCAGTCTTCCAATATTTGAGGGGCTGCCACGAAAAAGAGAGGGTCAAAATTATTTTCCAAAGCAGGCAAGATAAGAAACAACGGATGGAAACTAATCAAGGGGAGAAGCAACCTGGAATTAAGGAGAAACTTCCTAATGGTGAGGACAGTTAACCAGTGGAACAGCTTGCCTCCAGAAATCATGGGCACTCCATCACTGGAGGTTTTTAAGAAGAGACTAGACAGTCACTTATCGGAAATAGTATAGGCAGAGGGCTGGACTAGAAGACCTCCAAGGTCCCTTCCAGCTAATTGATTCTACTCAATCTGCTTTATCCTTCCAGGCCGCACGCATCGTTCCAACCAGGTGTCTGCTCCAGAGTACATTTTTCTCATCTCCGAACTGGCTGGCGAGCGACGGTTTGCATCCATTGTGGCGAAACGCTTAGAAAGCCTTGTAAGTTACTCTCTTTCCCCGCCTAAAACCCTTAAGAAAAGTCACCGTTTTCAACCTCCTGCTCTGTTCCCTTTGAGAGAGAATAATTTTGAGCCTATTTTACAGGGGGTGGGGGGTCTAGGACAACTCACTCATTGCAGTCAACTCAGCACAGCCAACTAGCCTCAGCCGACTCATCATGGCCAATCTGCCATGGGACAATTCCGTGCGGAATAGCTCCATGCGATCGATGTTATCTGCCACTGTTTCTTCGACATTAATTTCCATTTTTGCCGGTGGAAATAATGTCAAAGAAACATTTATCGCATTGAGTTGAAATGCAAGAGCCTTGGTGGCGCAGCAGACTAAAGTGCTGTTAAGTAACACCAGCTGCCTGCAATTACTGCGAGTTCAAATCTCACCAGGCTCAAGATTGACTCAGCTTTCCATCCTTTTCGAGGTAGGTAAAATGAGGACCTGGATTGTGGGGGGCAATAAGCTGACTTTGTATAAAAAAGAACATCGCTTGGGGGGCCTGAAAGCCCTACTAAGCAGGTATATACAAAAGTAAGACGGCTATTGCTTAACGCATTGTAAGCCGCCCTGAGTCTCCGGAGAAAGGGCGGCATATAAATCGAACCAATAAATAAATAAATAAATAAATGTCCGTGGTGAGTTGGCCCGCGGCAAGTTGGCCCATTCCGGTTTACGGGGGCTTGGAAAAGTTTTTATCTGGGAAACGTCTTTTATTTCTTAAATTTCTATGCCAGCCGTTTCACTTAGTGCAGCAATTCTGGGTGGCTTACAAAGTAACAGAAAGTTAAAAAGTGAAAAAAAAAAAAACAAACCCCAATTAAAACTAGTTTAAAAGAGTTAATAACGAAGTTGATGGAAGTCTGTAGAGGTTCTCAGTCATCCAGGTCATGGTTGTCCGAAGGGTGCCCCCCCCTTTTTTTTTTAAGAAAAAAAAACCAGAGGTGGGTTTCAGCAGGTTCTGACCAGTTCTGGAGAACCGGTAGCGGAAATTTTGAGTAGTTCAGAGAACCAGTAAATACCACCTCTGACTGGCCCCACCCCCATCTATTCTCTACCTCCCGAGTCCCAGCTGATCGGGAGGAAATGGGGATTTTACAGTATCCTTCCCCTGCCATGCCCACCAAGCCACGCCCACAGAACTGGTAGTAAAATTTTTTGAAACCCACCACTGAAAATAACCCCAAGGAAGTCCAGTTGCTTCCTGAAAAAAGCACCTTTAGGACAACCATGACCTGGATGACTGAGAATCTCTACAGACTTTTAGCTATACCAGTGATGGCTAACCTTTTTGCCATCGCGTGCCAGGAGAGGGGGGGGGGCAGGGGAGGGACATGGCGCACGTGCCCACGTGCTTGCGCGCGCAACTCCCCTCCCCCCCTAGAGAGGAGCCTCTCTAGGAACCTCTCTAGGTGTCTCTGGAGGCTGGGGACAGCAAAAAAGTCACTTCCTGTCCCACCGGGAGTTGGGAAATGGGCCCTTTCAGCCTCCGTAGGGCCTCCAAGGGAGTGGGAAAGTCTGTTTTCGCCCTTCCCAGATAAATAGAGAGGATCTGGAGCCAGGTAAGAAAGAAAAATGGGCCTTGTCCACCCAACCCCCCCAGGCCCTCCAGAGGCAGGAAACAGAGGCCTGTTTCCCTACTTCTGGTGGGCCCAGAAGGCCCGAAAATCAGCTGGCTGGCGTGCGCATGCGCCCCAGAGCTGAGCTGGCGTGCCCACTAATATGGCTCCGCGTGCCACTTGTGGCATGCGTGCCATAGGTTCGCCATCACAGAGCTATACAATTTGGGATGGACACCCTTCGAATGGTGGGGGAGTAGGAATGGATCTCCAGAGGGGGGAAAAATTGCAAACTACAGGAACTAGAAGCACCACTCAGGTGACCCTGAGGACACAGATAAACCTCCAAGTGGCCTCAGCGGCCCTCTAAAAGGATGCAAATGGTCAACTGTCTGTAAGGAATATAAATCCTTCCATTCCCCACTATCCTGTCAGAGCTGAAGAAGCTTCTTGGAGGAGAAACGAAACGTCTTCAAAAGACAAAACAGGAAAGTCCTGGGACGACCAAGCTGATGGGCAATTGAAATGAAAATGGCAGGGAGAAACACTCCCCAGGCTGCTTTCCTGCTTCAAATCTATTTGGGTTTTTGTTTCACCAACTCCAAACACCACAGCAAGGAATTGTGGGAGCTGTAGTCTGAAAACATCAAAAGGAGATGAGGTTCCTGGCCTCCTGCTGTCTAGCTCAGGAGCAGGATGTGAGAGACGCAACCCCCCCCCTTTTTTTTGATCCACCTCCAGCTGCTGACCTTATAAGAAATGCTCTCTTCAAACATATAACTCTCATTTGATTATCCTTTCTAGTCAATTAACAACAATGACTATTCAATTTTATTTTATTTATTAAATTGATATGCCGCCTATCTCACCATCGAGTGATTCTGGGGGGCTCACAACATCATAAAGCAACAATGTGAAACAATTAGAATGTGAAAAACTTATTTTTTTTAAAAAAAATAATTTTTATTACAATATTCCTTTACACAACTCTAGTACATAATCAACAGACGGTGTCATTTTTATATACTTCGGATTAACATTCCATACAGTATATACATTATATGCATTCAATATCTAATCCTCAATTGCCTTATGTATATTTTATTTCTATTATCTATCCAGGTGTACCATGTTTCCCAAACCACATAAAATTCCGAATCATCTTTTTCTTTTAGTTCTAGGGTCACCTTTATCCATTTTGGCACATTCATATATCTTCTGAATAATCAATCCCTCTGGTGGTGTATTGCGTTCCTTCCAGTATTGCGTGAACGCAATTCTTGCCGCTGTTAATATATGTAGAATCAAATATCTTATCTTTCTATCGAATTTTGTTTTCAGTATTCCCAGGAGAAATGTTTCTGGGTTTAATTCTATTCGACATTTTATTAGCTCTTGTAGCCATCCTTGTATCTTAGTCCAGTACTTTTTCGCTTCAGGACATAGCCACCAAGCATGAAGGAAGGTACCTTGACGATGGTTACATTTCCAACATTTTGGGCTTAGCTTCAAGTACATTTTAGCCAGCCTTGCTGGGGCAAGGTGCTAGTGGTAGAGCATTTTATACTGATTTTCCTTATAAGCAGCTGATTTTGTTATAGTGTAATTTTTGTTCCAAATTCTTTCCCAATCGTCTAAAGCAGGGGTCTCCAGTCTTGGCCGCTTTAAGACTTGTGGACTTCAACTCCCACAAAGCTGGCTGACGAATTCTGGGAGTTGAAGTCCACAAGTCTTAAAGTTGCCAAGATTGGAGACCCCTGGTCTAAAGAATGTGAAAAACGTCTAACATTAAAAGTTAACCATGTAAGAAAGAAACCAACGGGGTGAGAAGTGAGACTAGCCCTTAAATGATTTGGGTTTTTCCGATAGAAAATTACTCCAAGAGCAGATAGTCAAGCTGGGCTCTTAATCGTGTTAGCAAAACGTAGAATAAGCCACGGCGAAACACAAACTGCTGTTGTGTCCAGTGTCATTTATTTATTATTTATTATTTATTTATTTATTAAATTTCTATACCACCCTTCATGTGTGACCTTCTCTTTACCACAGGGTGCCTTAACTCACGGTGACCGAAGAGCGACTGAATCCCGGGACCTCAGCAAATACAACTTTGAGAATAAGGTGAGGTTCAGCGCTGGGTTTCCAATATTCTTACCACCTGTTTGCATGCACGCGCAGCTTCCACACCTGTGCCCAGCCTTCCGTGCATGCACTTTGCTCACTCAACGCGCCTTCCCGGCCTCAAAAACATGCCTAAATAGGACCTCATAGAGTAGGGGCGTGTGGGCAGGCCCACCCGTGATCTCCGCTACCGGTTTTCCCGAACCGGCTGAATACCACCTCTGGTGAGGTTATGCCTGAAGGTCTCCCAAAACTTCCACCTTTCAGTAAAATCTGTTAGTTAGAAAAGGTGCTGTGGATTTGTATTTTTTGCTTTTATTTTTTATGGCATCCGGGACGTGGGGTTTTTTTTGTCCTCAAGGAGAGCATTTCAAGCAGATGCGCGAGGTGGAAAAATACAGCTAGTGCCTTATTTTCTTCGAGTAAAATGAGGACAGACGTTTGAGCCTTAAAACGTGCAACCTTCGGTGCTCTCAGCTTGGTTTTTTGCTTGCAGACATCTCATTCATTACCCAACAAACTGCAGGTCATCCTCGAATTACGACCACAATTGAGCCCAACTTTTCTCTTGCTAAGCGAAACTTTTGATAACTGAGTTTTGCCCCATTTTACGGCCTTTCTTGCCGTAGTTGTTGAGTCAATTACTGCCAGTTGTGAAGTTAGTAACACGATTGTTCCCCATTGACTTTGCTTGTCAGAAGGTCGTAAAAAGGGGATCACATGATCCCAGGACGGATCAACCTTCCTAAATACGAGCCGTTGCCAAGCCTCCGTATTTTGTTCGTGCAAACATGGGGATGCTGCCACGGCCGTAAGTGTGAAAAATGGTCATAAGTCACTTTTTTCAGTGACGACGTAACTTCAAATGGTCACTTAAATGTATTGTTGTAAGTTGAGGACTACCTGTAATGTCATCAGTGCTAGAAGGGAGTGTGGACTTTGTGTTTGTATATACAGATAGTCCTCAAATTATGATCATGTTGCATTAAGTTAATAGAATAGAATAGAATTTTTTATTGGCCAAGTGTGATTGGATACACAAGGAATTTGTCTTGGTGCATACGCTCTCAGTTACATAAAAGAAAAGATACGTTCATCAAGAATCATAAGGATAATACTTAATACTTAATAATTAATTAATAATTATATTATAAAATAATAATAAAAATAATAAATAATAATTAATACTTAATAACACTTAATGATAGTCATAGGTACAAATAAGCAATCAGGAAACAATATCAATATAAATCGTAAGGATACAAGTAACAAAATTACAGTCATAAATTAGTTGTTAAGGGATTCGTGCAGTCATTAAGCGAAACCGGCTTCCTCCTTTGATTTTATTTTTCGGAAAGCTGGCTGGGAAATTCACAAATGCCCATTGTATGACCCTGGGAAGCTGCAACGGTTATAAATGCATGCTCTTTGCCATGCACCCAAATTTTGATCATGTGACTGCATGGATGCTGCAGTGGTTGTAAGTGCAAGGAACGGTTGTAAATCACTTTTTTCATTGCCACCTCAGTCACTAAAGAAACGGTTGTAAGTCAAGGAATCTCCGTATTAGCTTGCACATCTCCAACAAAATTGGCAGGGAAATTGTTGGGGGCAATATGCTATTTAGTATACTGTCGATTGTTGTAAGCCGCCCAGAGTCCTCGGAGAGTGGGTGGCATAGAAATATGATTAATAAAATAAAATAAATAAATAAATCCACCACTTGATTTATAAGCAGGTAGCAAACCCCTCATTCCCCTTACACTGATGATGTTACCTAGCGGGGTAATGAAACGTTTGCAAGCAAACAACCAGGCTCAGAGACCACCAAGGATGCCACGGAACGTAGGGTGGCTGAGCAGGGGAAGAGGTTGATTTTCTTAATGTGACTCGCATCTAGCCCGGATGCTCTTTACCTGTGTAGGGCCTAGATTTTTGATGCCTTTCTCTGCCTCTCCCCAGTATGGAATCAGAGCCCTCGATAAAGTCCTGCGCACCATCTTCCAACAGACTGAGAGCAAAGTCCCTGTGCCAAAGATTTATCAAGAAGGAGATGCGGCTTTTTTCAGTGGTAAGCAAGGAGGGGGCGGACTACAACGTTAATAAAGACAAGGACAATGCTGATCTTTAGCTACAGGGAAGGATGTGAGCTTATATTTATTTATCTATTTATTTATCAAATTTATATACCGCCCTACTCCCGGGGGACTCAGGGCGGTGAACAGCCAAGATAAAATACAGATAATACAAACATTAAAAGTCCATTAAAATTATTAAATATTTTGGCCGAAAACAAATTTAAAACACCCAATTTGTAAAACAGATTAAACGATTTAAAAATTTAAAAGGGAGAGTTAGGCCAGGCCAGCCTGCTGAAATAAAAATGTTTTGAGAGCACGACGAAAAGTGCGCAGATCCGGGATCCTCCGGACCTCTGGAGGGGAGCTCCTTCCAGATGGTAGGTGCCCCCACAGAGAAGGCTCTCCCCCTGGGGGCCGCGAATCGACACTGTTTGGCCGACGGCACTCTGAGAAGCCCCTCTCTATGGGAGCGTATTGGTCGGTGAGAAGCTATTGGTAGGAGAAGGGGGTCTCGTAAATACCCCGGTCCGATGCCATGGAGCGCTCTAAAGGTGGTAACCAAAACCTTGAAGCGCACCTGAAAGACCACCGGGAGCCAGTGCAGTTCGCGTAGGAGGGGGGGGTCACATGGGAGCGCCATGCCGTTCCCATAACCACCCGCACGGCCACATTCTGGACCAGCTGGAGCCTCCGGGTGCTCCTCAAGGGGAGCCCCATGTATAGAGCATTGCAGTAGTCCAGGTGGGAAGTAACGAGAGCATGAGTGACCGTATTTAACGAGTCCCGATCCAGAAAGGGGCGCAACTGGTGAATCAGGTGGACTTGATAAAAAGTCCCCCTGGCCACAGCCTTCAAGTGCTCTTCCATAAAGCTCATAAAGCTTCTGGATGGTTCCCAGTTCGAAATCCAGCAGATCCCCACCATCGAATCAAAAACTTAACCTTGGAGAAGGAATTCAGAGGTCATTGCAATGGAAACCTATCAAGGAGAGAAGCAACCTGAAACTAAGGAGAAATTTCCTAACCAGAGAACAATTAATCAGCGGCTTTAACAATTAATGGAGCAGCTTGCCTCCAGAAGTTGTGGGTGCTTTAACATTGGACAACCACTTGCCTCTGGAATCACATAGGCCAGGGCAGTGGTGAAATCTAAAATTTGTTACTACCGGTTCTGTGGGCGTGGCTTAGTGGGGTGGGTGGGTAATGTGACTGGGTGGGCGTGGTCAATTTTTTTTACTTTTAAAACCATTTTTTACATGTAAAACCATGTAAAAAAATGCTTTCGAAAGGCTCTGACGATCCCAGCTAAGTTGCCTGATCGGCAGAAGGTTTTTTTAAAAACCCTCTGCCGATCAGGCAACTCAGCTGGGATCGTCAGAGACTTTTCAAAGCATTTTTTTTACCACCTCTTCAGCCAAGAGGTTGCAGAAAAAAATGCTTTGAAAAGCTTCTGAGGATCCCAGCTGAGCTGCGCGATCATCAGAGGCTTTTTTTTTACTTTTAAAAGCATTTTTTCGTCAGAAGAGGTTGTAGAAAAAATGCTTTTAAAAGTAAAAAAAAAAAGCCTCTGATGATCGCCTGGCTCAGCTGGGCATGGGGGGGGAGGAGGGGGCAGGGATTTTTGCTACCGGTTCTCCGAACTGCCCGCCGCCATCGCTACCTACTCGCCCGAGCCGGTCCAAACCGGGAGCGTTTCACCCCTGATATAGGGTCTCCTGCTTGAGCAGGGGGTTGGACTAGACGACCTCCAAAGTCCTTTCCAACTCCTGTTATCCTGCATTCTGTATCCCATGCCGTATCTGAGGATTTTGCAATTGGAGGCCACTATCTGCTAGAATACACACAGCAAAATAAATGTATTTTGTTTCTGTTTGTAGGGAAAGATGGTTCTGCTGCCAAAAAGCTGTGATTGCCCCCCCACCCCCCTCAAAAAAATTTCTTCCCCATTTCAGCCACACAAGTACATGAAGTTTGGGGACTACCAGACGCAATTCAGGATTCCAGTGGTGAAATGGTTAATTAGAAACTCTGAGGATTAGTCAGGCATAGGTCCCCAAACCAATGGCATCTGTTCCCTTGCAGAATCCTTGAATTTGCGGCCCTTTCTTGATCGGGATTCCCTGTGCACAGTCACCCATGCCCTCGTCACCTCGCGCCTGGACTACTGCAACGCTCTCTACATGGGGCTCCCCTTGAAGAGCACCCGGAGGCTCCAACTGGTCCAGAATGAGGCCGCGTGGGTAGTCACGGGAGCCGCATGGCGCTCCCACATAACACCTCTCCTGCGTGAGCTGCACTGGCTCCCAGTGGTCTTCCGGGTACGCTTCAAGGTGTTGGTTACCACCTTTAAAGCGCTCCATGGCATAGGACCTAGTTATCTTCGAGACCACCTGCTGCTACCGATGACATCCCACCGACCTGTGCGCTCCCACAGAGAGGGCCTCCTCGGGGTGCCATCAGCCAAACAATGTAGGCTGGTGACCCCCAGGGGGAGGGCCTTCTCTGTGGGGGCACCTACCCTCTGGAACCAGCTGCCCCCAGAGATAAGGAGAATCCAAGACCTCGGTGCCTTCCCCGTGCCCTTAAAACCTTCTTTTTCCAGCAAGCCGGGCTGGCTTAACATATTTTTTAACATATTTTTAAAATATTTTTAATTGGTTTGTTATTTTAAATTGGGGCCAAATTAATATATATCCCTTTAATTGTTTTTTAATGTTTGTATTGTATGTTTTTATCTGGCTGTACACTGCCCTGAGTCCCTCGGGAGAAGGTGCGGTATATAAATTAGAAACAAAATAAAAAATAAAATAAAAATTTTGAACTAATCAAGGAAAGAAACAACCTGCAATTCAGGAGAAACTTCCTAACAATGAGGACAATTAACCAAGAGGAACAGCTTTGCCTCCAGAAAGTTGTGGGTGATCGAGCACTGGAGACTTTTAAGAAAAGACTGGACAGCCATTTGTTCAGAATGATTATAGGATCTCCGGCTTGAGCAGGGGGCTGGACTAGAAGACCTCCAAGGCCCCTTCCAGCTCTTTTCCGATACTGATTCTGATTGAGACTTGATTGAACACCCTCGCTTGGGTTGTGAGGCCGTTTTTAAAAGCACTGCATTATAGTTAATCCACAGGGAAGTCGATTCAATGTGTCTGATCGATTTACCTGCTTTCCATCTGTTAAAATAAATTTCCGGGTTTTCTTAGAAATGAAGCAGTCCCTCCTCTCCGTGGGAATCTCTTGCAAGGAGATGCGATACGGCTTCATGACCATGGAGAAAGGTAAGCTACACACACCCTTTCTCTCAGTTTACTCGCCTATCTTCTGTTCTACACGGTGTTGTGGCCCGTCAGTGGCCAGCGGATTTGAACAGTGAGGAGGTTGGGGAGGAACATGGGCCAGTCCTGGAGTCTGGGGAAGGCTCTGAGGAGGGCTCTGCATCGGAGGCAGAGAAGGGGCCAGAGCTGTACGCAAGTTATCAGCTGCTTTTGGAGTCAGACATCAGTGAGGCAGATGAACAGCTGGAGCCTGTTCCTAGTGTGCGCATGCACAGAGCTGCCAGACAAAGGGAACAGCTAAAGAACAAGGGTCGACTCAGGAGTAAGGCCACAGGTGGACGATGAATGGCCCCTCCCAGAGGGAATAAAAGAGGAGAGAGAGGGGGAGTGGAGTTTGCAGGAGACAATTAGTTCATTGCTGGCCACTCTCTAAGCGTGATAAAGGTCGGTAATTGTGAGTTATCTTGAAAGACTTTGCTGGAGAGGAATTCACTGTAAATTAAATAAAAGGGTTTTTTGTTGGGACAAGGACTCGGCTTTATGCTGCTGGGGAAACTTAGGTCAGAAGACATGGCTCATGGTTCTCCTCAGCCTGCAGTATGAGTCAGGGGAACATTATAATGAACTTTCGTTTGATTATAAATCATCTCCAGTTCTTTGTGGAAACTCAACTCAACTCTTTCGTATAAGTAGAAAAAAAAAATTCTGACTCTTCGGTTCTCCCGTGGTTTGAAACAAAACTTGGACAGGACTTCGAGTGAGAAGACTTGCAAGCTCAATTGCAGTGTTGATCACAAATTTGGAGGGCAAACCTTTGTTCAGAGGCTCCATCTTTCGTTACTCTTAGTTTAGGCATCTGATACAGATTGTTCTCAACTTACAACCGTTCGTTTAGTGTCCGTTCAAAGTAACAACGGCACTGAAAAAAGTGACTTATGGCCCGTTTTCACATTTACCACCGTTGCGGCATCCCTGCAGTCACTTGATCTAAATTCAGACCCTTGGCAACTGACTCATATTATTTATTTATTTATTTATTTATTTATTTATTTATTTATTTATTTATTTATTTATTTATTTATTTATTTATTTATTTATTTATTTATTTATTTATTTATTTATTTATTTATTTATTTATTTACATTTCTATGCTGCGCAACTCCCAAGGGACTCTGGGTGGCTTACAACAAAGAATAAAACAATGCGAACAATCCCATAAAAAATGTTAAAAAGAAAAACATTAAAACATTAAAAACTTTAAAAACGTTAAAACACATGCACTCCTATTCGTGGACGGGTCTCGCAAGATCATTATAACAAGATCAACGGCCCCAGGCCTGCTGGAAAAGCCAGGTCTTCACCGCTTTTCAGAAGGCCAATAGGGTGGGGGCGGTCCGGACCTCAGGAGGTAATTGGTTCCAGAGAGCTGGGGCAGCCACAGAGAAGGCCCTCCCTCGCGGGCCTGCCAGCTGACATTGTTTAGCTGACAGGACCCGGAGGAGACCGACTCTGTGGGATCTTACCGGTCGCTTCAGCCGAAGAGGTTGTAGAAAAAATGCTTTTAAAAGGCTCTGATGATCCCAGCTGAGCCGCGCGATCATCAGAGGCTTTTTTTTAAAAAAAACTTTTAAAAGCATTTTTTTGGGCGGAAGAGGTTGTTAAAAAAATGCTTTTAAAAATTAAAAAACAGCCTCTGATGATCGCGTGGCTCAGCTGGGCATGGGGGGGGGGGGCCACAGGGATTTTTGCTACCGGTTCTCCGAACCACCTGCCGCCATCGCTACCGAACCGGAAGCATTTCACCCCTGCTCTGCTCGCGCAGCTTAGAAAATGTGGCTAAATAGATGGCATAGTGCCGGGGCTGGCCCGGGCCCACCCGCAGGTCGCCGCTACCAATTCGCCACTACCAGTTTGCCCGAACCGGCTGAATACCACCACTGTTTCTGAGTCAGGAAACTGGTGTCCAAGACGAACTAAACGCATGACGTCCTTTTCTCTGTTTGTTTGTTTATTTCACTCACAGACTGTTCCATCACCAAGTTCCTAAATCGCATGTTGGGCCTGGAGGTTGACAAACAGAATCTGCTCTTCCAGTACTTCAACGACACTTTCGACTACCTGATCGAGCGGGACAAGAAAGATGGCAAATATGACATGGGGATTCTGGGTAAGCAGGAGGCTCACCCCGAGTTGGCAACCCCCGCTGGCGTATTGTACTCCTGGTTAGAGAGATTATGAAATGAATTAGTAACTTAATGAGAGTCCGCGGTCTTCCTTCCTTCCCATCGTGGTGATCAGTCAAGTAAGAAAGTAAGAAAAAAATAATTTTCCATATCCAGAAAGTATTGGGTAAAGACTTAAAATATTCTTCTTGGGCCTTGTGTCAGAACTGGGAGTTTCTATGAACAGCGTTTTTCAACCTTAGCTGCTTAAAGAAGTGTGGACTTCAAATCCCATGATTCCCTCTGCCAGCCTTGCAGAGAATGACTGGCCCAAAGTCACCTCGCTGGCTTTCATGCCTAAAGTGAGACTAGAACTCACAGTCACCTGGTTTCTAGGCCAGCACCTAGTAATTATTATAACTCTACATTAAAGGCCTGGAGACTAAAATTTATGAAGAACGGTTGCAGGATTTAGGTGCGGCTAGGCTACAGAAAAGAAGGACTGGGGTGACATGGTAACAATATTCCAGTATTTGAGGGGCTGCCACAAAGAAGAGGGGGTCAACTTATTTTGCAAAGCACCAGAGGGCAGGACAAGAAGCAATGGATGGAAACTAATCAAGGAGAGAAACAACCTGGAATTAAGGAGAAATTTCCTAACAGTGAGGACAATTAACCAGTGGAACAGCTTGCCACCAGAAGTTGTGGGTGCTCCATCACTGGAGGTTTTCAAGAAAAGACTGAAAAGCCACCTGTCTGAAATGATATAGGGCAGTGATGACTAACCTTTTTGCCATCGCGTGCCAGGCGAGGGGAGGCGGGGGAGGGTCACGGCGCACGTGCCCACACGCATGTGCACGCAACCTCCCTTTCCCCCCCCTCCTACAGAGGAGCCTCTCTAGGAGCCTCTCTAGGAGTCTCTGGAGGCTGGGGACAGCAAAAAAGTCACTTCCTGTCCCACCGGGAGTCAGGAAATGGGCCCTTTCAGCTCCGTAGGGCCTCCAAGGGAGTGGGAAAAGTTGTTTTCACCCTTCCCAGATAAATGGAGAGGATCTGGAGCCAGGTAAGAAAGAAAAACAGGCCTTGCCCCCCCTCCAGGCCCTCCAGAGGCAGGAAACAGCCTGTTTCCCTACTTCTGGTGGGCCCAGAAGGCCCCAAAATCAGCTGGCCGGCGTGCACATGTGCCCCAGAGCTGAGCTGGCGTGCCCACTAATATGGCTCCGTGTGCCACCTGTGGCACACGTGCCATAGGTTCGCCATCACGGATATAGGGTCTCCTGCTTGAGCAGAGGGATGGACTAGAAGACCTCCAAGGTCCCTTCCAGCTCTCTTCTTAATTGAATTGAACCTTGCCTATTTTGTGATGTCCCATAAATCAGATTACTTGGCGAAAAGCGGTGGACTCTCAATTTTTGAATTTGCAGCCCCACCTACACCGCAACATTACACAACTACAAGACTGGGCAAAGAAAGGGGAGATGCAACAATGGTCATACATGCGCATGTCGGGGGAGGGAGAGAAAAGTTAGGAGAGATTCCCATCTGCATATTTTTTTATGAGCTCCATCCAACCTGAGGTATCACCCTCCATATTCTCACCGCCTTCTCCATTCCTCAGACTTGGCTCCGGGCATTGATGAAATCTACGAGGAGAGCAAAGAGATTTTCCTAACGCCAGGCCACCCACAAGATGGCCAGGTGGTCTTTTACAAGGTAAGACTTTGCAAGAGGGTTCACGAACCTCTTTTTGGTAATGGTCCACCTTTGCCTCTTCTGACTTGGCTGCCTCTTACAAGCCTCAGGCTGGAATTTTCCTAGCTTTGCCTAGTGGAGATGCCACTGGATCGGCAATCTTCTACATCGGTGCTTCTCAATCTTAGCAATTCTAAGATGTGTGGACTTCAACTCCCAGAACTCCCTTGCAAGGCTGGCTGGGGAATTCTGGGAGTTGAAGTCAATATATCTTAGAATTGCTAAGGTTGAGAAACACTGTTCCACATGCAAAGCCTACTGACCTAGGCTTCCCAAAAGCATGAAGCCGACTCCTCGTCCCGATAAAACCTCTTTTATTTAGTTTAAAGGGAATTCCTCTCCAGCAAACTCCCAGCCAACCATCTTTCATGAGATTTCAAAACTTACAGACTTTTATCAGGCTTGGAGAGCTGCCAGGCCGATATCTTCTAAACGCCAGGATGTAGCAGACACTACTTGACAAGAAGTCAGGAACAGATCTTCACTCTAATGAATTGAACTAATTGTCTCCTGCAAACTCCCCTCCCCTTTCGCTTCTCTTTCTTCCCTATGGGAGGGGCCATTCACCGTCCACCTGTGGCTTTACTCCTGAGTTGACCCTTGTTCCTTAGCTGTTCCCTTCTCCTGGCAGCTCTGTGCATGCACACACTGGGAACAGGCTCCAGCTGTTCTTCTGCCCCACTGAGATCCGACTCCGAAGGCAGCTGATAACTGTCGGACGGCCCTGGCTCCCTCTCTGCCTCCGACGCAGAGCCCTCATCAGAGACTTCCCCAGACTCCACGACTGGCCCATGTTCCTCCCCAATCTCCTCACTATCTGAGTCTGTCACCAGCTCCACTGACGGGCCACAACACTAGTGACAAAATATTTTGAGCTCACAATAACAAAAAAGTATTCCAAACTGAAACCAAGAAGGCCTCTTGTCTGTTTTCTCATGCTTCGTACAATTTCGTAGATCTCTCATAACTGTTTTAAACTTTCTTGGCCCTGGGACGCTGCAACAATGATAAATACAATGCTGGTTGCCAAGCGCCCAAATTTTGATCATATGACCATGGGGACGCTGCCCCAGTTATAAGTGCGATGACCGGCCATAAATCATTATTTATAAGTGCAGTTGTGATTTTGCTAGGGAAATGGCCACGAGTCAAAAGCTACCTGTACTCTAAACAGCTTCTTTGCTTATTTCGGTCCCATCTTTAGATCAGCGTGGACAGAGGGTTGAAGTGGGAGGAGGCCTATGAGAAGTCACTTCATCTGACGGGCCCTAATGATGGATTCTACCTGTCCCACAAGGTAAGAAAAAATGGTGGGGATGGAGGGGGGCAGGGTCTGATGGAAATTTTGGGGTGATAGTTTTTCCACAAGGGGAGAGGTTGGCAAGGATCTTGATCAGAAGTGAAAATCTTCCCTTAGTTATTCTGCTAAGGGGCTTGGAGAAGGAGGTTATTCTGGCAAATATTCCATTCCATACCATACCCATTTTTTTTAAAAAAATTGATTTATATGCCGCCCTTCTCCGGAGACTCAGGGCGGCTTACAATGCGTTAAGCAATAGCCTTCATACTTTTGTATATTTATACAAAGTCAGCTTATTGCCCCCACAAACTGGGTCCTCAATTTACCTATCTTAGAAAGGATGGAAGGCTGAGTCAACCTTGAGCCTGGCGGGATTCGATCTTACTTTAATTGCAGACAGCTGGTGTTAAATTACAGAGCTCTGTCTGTAGAGCTATCCATTAGTCTCAAGCAGAAGTTTTATTGTTAGTCACCTATGTTACAAGAATCTCACCAGACAATCTCGTCCCTTGGGAACGATCAGATAAGATTTAAGGGATTGTGGGGAAGGTCAAGCCCATGCCATTTTCTGCAGTGCAAGGACTCTAAGCTTGACCTCCTCTTAACACTTCCCTCTACTTTAGCTGAAGATTCTACTATTTACTCTCTGCCTCAAACCACTTTGGATTGTGTGGTGATACTGCTTCAGACTTGCTATCCGTTACCTATTACCTGATCAATGCCAGCTTTTTATTGTCCATGTGTTGAGCTCATTCAGCTATGTGTGACTCCCAAGTTCTTAATCTTCAGTACCTAGTTTTGGGGAGCACCACTCTCTCTCCCCCAGTCTCCAAACCAGGTGTTGGCAACCTTAAACACTCAAAATGTCAACTTGCAAAGCTTTCAAGTTGCCATGAGCAGGAGGGAGGGAGAACTGATAGAGCTGATTGATTTCCCTAACTGAAGTGCATTCCATACATTCTTCCTGACCGCAATCAGAAGGAGGGTGTTGGATTTCACAGCCAGCCAAAGTGGTTAACTGAAGAATGTCATTTATGACATGGCCAGAGAGGAGGGGAGAGACAGGGTCATAGGGGAACGTAAATCTACGTGGGATTAGTTCTAACTGCATCCGAATATTGCCGAAATGGAGCTCCTGACTGTATTTCTTTTGAAGTTCGGCTCATGGCTCATGAATTAATTAGGGCATCTTTCGGAAACTTCACACAAAGAGCCACAAAGGCCCTAACTGGAAGCCCCCCCATTTAATTCTGTAGCCAACCAGGAGTCCGATTCCCCCCACCATAGTGTCTCCTCCTAGCATGACATCCTTTTTCCTCTACCTATCCTAACCGAAAGCCCTATCAATTGTGGAGCTGACTGGCGACAGGGAGCCGCAGCAGAGGGATGAAAGAGCCACATGCGGCTCCAGAGCTGCAGGTTGCCGACTTCTGCCCTAAACTAACTCTGAGCGCTCTGCCCCCCTGCAGGTTCGAGGCAACAAATACATTTGCCTCCTAGCCGAACAGACCCGTGGGAAATACTTCACCCTCTACAAGCCGAACATCGGGAAGCAGAGCCAGCTGGAGACCATGGACAGCCTTTTTAAGAAGTACCAGCCGGTAAGGCCCAGGATGAAGCCGTGGCGGTTCTGACCCCAGATCCATTTTTTTTCCTCCTCCGCCAATCCTTGACGGTTCCTTCTCGCTGGTCTTTCCTGCAGGTGTCGCCAGCGGATGCTCAGCCCCACTGGGAGAGCAGTTACGACTTCTCCCTGAAGCACTGCAACCACGCCGTATGGTAAGTCACCTTCAAGGGTTGCTCCAAAGACAGAAACCTTGAGAAAACACAGGCATTCTAGTTTCTTAGAGGGACAATGAAGAAGACAGGCAGAGGTGCCTGTTGCCAGATTGTTAGGCCAGGGTGGACGCCCTTCTGATGACGGTGTTGATAGAGTCATAATGTTTACAGATAGTCCTCAATGTCCGACCCTTTGCTTATTTTAATTAATTAGTTAGTTAGTTAATGAATGAATTCAAAATTACAACAGTGCTGGAAAAAAAATGATTTAAACCATCCCAGTGTCCCTGCGGTGACGACCAAAATAGGCGGCTTGGCAACTAGCATATACAGGAAATCCTCCCGTTATGACAGCAATGGAGCCTGCCCATTATTGTGGGAAGTCGAGATGAATGTTAAATGAGCCACGTCATTAACGACTGCCCCATATCATTTTTTTTTTAAATTTGATTTATATGCCGCCCTTCTCCGGAGACTCAGGGCGGCTTACAATGCGTTAAGCAATAGCCTTCATACTTTTGTATATTTTTACAAAGTCAGCTTATGGCCCCCACAAACGGGGTCCTCATTTCACCTACCTTAGAAAGGATGGAAGGCTGAGTCAACCTTGAGCCTGGCGAGATTCGAACTTGCAATAATTGCAGACAGCTGATGTTAATCACAATGCTATCAGTCTGCTGAGCCACCAGGCCCAGCAGACCTCCAATGCATTCGTTAAACGAATACATGGAGTGTTAAGTGTGCACGGGGTGCCTTGGGGATGCGTGCCTTGGGCCTCCCAAGCCCACCCCCCTCATGATAACACGTACTCCACTTCTGACCCCTTGGTGTCCCCACAGCCACTTCGGCATCCTCTGCCCCTCACAACTGCTCACTTACCTTGCAAAGATCTGCAGAGCTCAGGGGGTGAAGGAAACGTGTTCTGACCCAGATCCCCAATCACGACAAACCCTCTGTACTTAAATCAATGATTCCTTTATTAGGAGCGCCAGCAGCCCCGGCAAAAAGTTTCTCACCACAGGCTAACAAGTCTGTCCAGCAGGGAGATGGATGGTTGTCTGCCACATCTATTCATCTCCGCCCCCTGCCTTTTATCCCCAGACCTAGGGTGGGGCTTCACTAGTAGTGGTGGTTCTTTGGTCCCAAGGACCGGCCCATAGATTTCCACTGCTCTCCTCTCCTCTGCTTTCTGCACATCTGCATGTCAGGCACTGGACCCAGCTGTTCCTCCTCTTCCTCATCAGCCACCTCCAGACCTGGGGGCTGTTGACTCTCCATCTGAGGGCTGATGGACGGCCCAGGCTCCGCCTCTGTCTCTCTCTCTCTGCCAGCTCCCTTCCCTCTCCCCCCTCTGAGCTCTCAGGTTGCCTTGATGCTGGCCCTGACTCCCACGCCTCTTCCTCCTCCTCCTCTGATTCAGCTGCTGGAGGGGCCGGCCACAACAGAAGGGAAGGAGAGCAGGAAGAAAGCAGCGTCTTTTTCGATACAGCCACCCATTCAGCATAGCCGCACGATGAGGGAGGCGGCGTGAAAAGAGGGATCAGCCTAGAATCCCTGCATAGCCAGAAACGAACTAAGCCCAACCCCTCCTTGAGTGCTGTTGACTCTTATTTAACTCTAAGCAGGTGCCATCTCTTAAGTTGAGAAGATTCTTGTGCGAATAAATCAGTTTAATTGCAGATTCACCTATGGACGTGAATTTTTGCACCTGACAGTGTGTTTTCTTTCTTGTGTTTCCTTTTCTTTCTTCCCCCCCCACACATCCCCCAACCTTCCCTATTAATAACACCCACCCACCCCCAGGAACAGGAACTGCAAGGTTGTCCAGGAAGGAAAGGAATGTTTCCAAGGCACGCGTTTACGCCACTATTACATGCTTTGCGGGGCCCTCTTGCGCGTCTGGACCAAAATCGCTAGCATCATGTCTAACATCACCAACACCAGCTACCTGCAGATCGTCCGCCTCAAGACCAAAGAGAAGAAAAAGCAAGTTGGTGAGTGGCCAACCGAAGCTGGGGCAAAAAGAGTGGCATCGCCTCCATCCCAGATCCTGACAATCAATTGCCAGATTTGGAAGGGGGCCCCTAAAGGCCATGGAAACCAGGTTGAGAGATGGCGGGGAGGCAGAGAAAGGGATGGAAAAGAGAGCAGCCAATTAACAGCAAAAACAGCCTTACCAACAGTTCATTTAGTGACATGAACATGAACTACATGGGGCTCCCCTTGAGGAGCACTCGGAGGCTCCAACTGGCGCAGAGTGTGGCCGTGCGGGTGGTTATGGGAGCGACGTGGCGTTCCCATGTAACACCTCTCCTGCGCGAGCTGCACTGGCTCCCGGTGGTCTTCCGGGTGCGCTTCAAGGTTTTGGTTATCACCTTTAGAGCACTCCATGGCTTAGGACCCGGTTATTTACGGGACCGCCTGCAACCACCAATAGCCTCCCACCGGCCGGTACGGTCTCATAGAGAGGGGCTCCTCCGGGTGCCGTCGGCCAAACAATGTCGACTGGCGGCCCCCAGGGGGAGAGCCTTCTCTGTGGGGGCACCTACTATCTGGAACGAGCTCCCCCCGGAGATACGGAGGATCCTAGATCTGCGTACCTTCCGTCGCGCTCTCAAGACTTTTTTATTCCATCAAGCTGGCCTGGCCTAAATCTTTCCCCTTTAAAATGTAAATTTTAATTTGTTTTTAAAATTACTGGGTGTTTTAAATTTGTCTCGGCCAAATTGTTTAATTCGGTTTTATTCTGTTTTTAAATTTTGTATTTATGTGTTTTATTCCCTGAGTCCTTCGGGAGTAGGGCGGTATAGAAATCCAATAAATGAAATGAAATGACTGTTGGAAGTTACAAGGGCACTGAAAAAAGTGATTTATGGCCATTGTTCACACTTGCAGCATCCCCATTGTCACATGCTCAGAATTCAGACACTTGGCAACTGACTCATATTTATGACGATTGCAATGTCCCGGGATCACGGGATCCCCTTTTGCGCCCTTCTGACTAGCAAAGTCAATGGGGAAGCCAGATTCACTTAACAACCGTGTGACTAACTTAACTGCAGTGATTCAGTTAACAACCGTGGCAAGAAAGGTTGAAAAATGGAGCAAAAACTCACTTAACAAAGTTCTCACTTCGCCTCAGAAATTGTGGTGGTAAGTTGAGGACTACCTGGGAAACAAACTACTACAAGACTTAAACAAGACTTAAATATGGCTGTAAGTCATTTTTCATTTTCAGTGCCCTTATAACTTCGAACAGGCACGAAACGATTGTAAGTTACAACTAAACAGTTGTAAATTGAAGACCATCTGTTTTTCCCATGTTCTCCCCTCATTCCTCATTGACCGACTTCCCTTCCTTTCTCTGTAACCCGGATCCTGGGAGCCTCATCCTCCCATCGAGGTCACGGGAATCTAAGCCACGATTACGTCCTCATCGTTGGGGTCCCGCGGAGGTGGGCGAGCGGGGTTGGAGCGGTCTCGCCTCCTGCCGAAAATTGACTCGGTACGTTTTTATCCCTTCTGCAGGGATCAAGATACCGGAGAATTGCGTCCATCAGGTGCTGAAGGAGCTGAAGCAGATGGACGAGAACGTCAAACTGAAACAGAAGCAGATTCAAGCCATGAGGGCCGCCGTCGTGCCCAGCCAGCCCTACTCGCAGGTCATCCCACCGCTGGACTTTAGCCAGCCTGCAGGATTTCTCTCTGCCCAGCACTCTTCCTTGACGCAGGACGAGGTCTGGGACCTGACCAGCCCATCCGCGGAAGGCCTTCCGGACTTCTGGACGCACCCATCTCCTCCTCCTCCTCCTCCTCCTCCTCCTACTATGCACCCCCCGCTGCCCCCGGCCCCCTCCCAGTTCAACTTCCACCCTCCCTACGACAGCACGGGGTTGGTGGGCAGCCTGGCGCTCAGCGGCTCCCCTTCCCAGCACGAACCCATGGCCCCGACGCCAGCCCTCCCTCTCCCCCTGGCGGACAGTTTCTCCCCGGCCAGCCTGAACTTCCGAGAACTCTTGGAGGAGATGATGCTGAACCCTCACGGTTTGGGGGGCGAGAACAGCGAGCAGGAGCGCCAGAGTGTCATCCAGTTCAGCGGGCCCCTCTCCAACCTCTTCGATGCCAGCTGAGTTGGGGGGGGGGGGGCGTGGGATGTTTTTAATCCTGGGTTGGAACGGACCACTTCAAAAAAACAAAAGGGGTGGGCGGAGAGAAATCTAGTTCAGGGGTCTCCAACCTTGGCAACTTTGAGACTTGTGGACTTCAACTCCTAGAGTCCCTCAGCCAGCAAAGCTGGCTGAGGAACTCTGGGAGTTGAAGTCCACTCCACAAGTCTCAAAGTTGCCAAGGTTGGAGACCCCTGCGTCTAGTTAACAGAAACAAAGTTTATTTATATATAATATACAGTCAAGCCTGTACTAATTTTTTTATATGTATGTATAGAGAGATATGTACAAAGGGGGTTCTGGGAGAGGATAAATGGGGGGGCAATAATGCCGACATAACCGGGGAATTGGGCACTTTAGAAAAACGGCTGCTTGCCGGCTTCGTTATCTGCCTGTCGCTTCTCAGCCCCAAACTTTTGTGTTTCTGGGCTACCCAGCAAAAAAAACTACTGACTTTGGAAAGTGAGAATCATAGAACGGATGTATGAATGAATATATGTATATGTGTGTGTGTGGTGTGTGTGTATATGTGTATATATATATATACACACACACAAACACACACACACACAGTGTATGTATGTGTGTATGTATATATGTGTATATGTATGTATGTATGTATGTGTATATGTATGTATGTATGTATGCATATATATATATATATATATATATATATATATATATATATATATATATACCCACACATATATACATACACACATACATACACTGAATATATATATATTCATACATATATATTATGTATATATATATATATATTCATACATATATATATATTCATATATACATACATACATATATATATATTTATATATATATATAAATATATATATATATATTCAGGCATAGATACCCACACGTGTACAGGTAGTCCTTGACTTACAACACTTCTTTTATTGACCATTTCCAAGTTACAATGACACTGAAAAAAGTGACTTAGGACCGTTTTTTCCGTTTTTCACACTTACGACCGTTGTATCCAGTCCCACAGTCCTGGGATCAAAATTCAGGCCCTTGGCTGTTGACTCCTATTTATGACGGTTGCAGTGTCCCGGGGGTGTCACGCGTGATCCCCTTTTGCGACCTTCTGACGAAGCAAAGTCAGTGTGTGTGTGGGGGCAAACCCAGATTTCCCTTTAACCACAGTTTGACTCATTTAACAAACTGCTTTGATTCAGTTAACAACTGTGGCAAGAAAGGTTGCAGAAGGTCAGCAAACTCACTTAACAAAAAGTTTTCACTTTCGCGGCAGAGGTTTGGGGCTCCGCTGTGGTTGTAAGCCGAGGACTGCCTGTATCCCTTGTACCTGATTTGTCAAAAGAAGTCAAGTGACGGTCCAAAGGGAGGTGGGGGGGTGGGGAAACTTTCTCAAAGTCCTTGGTTTGATTTTTTTTTTTTTTTTTTAAATTTTGCACAAATGGAAAATGTTGCACAATCAGATTAGCGGTAGATTCTCAGCTCCAGGGGGTCCTCGATCTGCGACCATTCGTTTACCAGTCACACGTTTGGGATCTGATCCTTTTTGGCAACCGGCCCCTGTTTTTCAAGCCTTGGGCGCTTTTGCCATGTGCAACCCTTCCCAGGGGGTGGTCAAATCAGGAGCGACTCACTGAAAGACTTTTTTGCTTTAGTGACGGATGCCCTGTGGTCGTAAGTCAAGGACTACATCACTGCTCTGCTGGGTGGTGGGCCTTGAAAATTTCTGATTCTCACAGAAAGCCAGTTTTCAATGCGCCATGTATTTATTGGGGGGGTGGGGGGAGAGATTTATAAACCAAATCTAGAGCTGCAGACACCCAGTGGGGTTTCTCCTCACCCGTTCCCATGTGCCTAGAAGGAGCGTTGAAATCATGCGCCCCTTTTTGCAGTCAAACCTTTTTTTGGGGTTCCAAGGCTCGAGAAAGTGTGTCTGTGCATTTTGTGTAGCCCAACCCCTCTTTTAAAAAGTCTTTATTTTTTATTGAAGGGGAGCAGTGAGGTGTGACAATCCCAGAGCTCAACACCAAGTGCTTAAAACGAAGGAGGGGGTTCAATTATGGTTTTAATAAGCCCAACTTGAGAAGGCGACACAGATAGTCCTCGACTTACAACAGTTCATTTAATGACCGTTCAAAGAACAGCACTGAAAAAAGGGACTGATGACTGTTTTTTTCACAGTTATAACCTCTAGCATCCCGCACGATCATGTGATCAAAATTTGGACGCTTGGCAACTGACTCGTATTTATGACTGTTGCAGTGTCCTGGGGGGGTCATGTGATCCCCTTTTGCGACCTTCTAACCAGCAAAGTTAACGGAGAAGCCAGATTCGCTTAACAGCCGGGTTACTAACTTTATCAATTGCGGTGATTCATGTAACGACCGTGGCAAGGAAGGTCGTAAAATGGGGCAAAACTCACTTAACAGATGTCTCACTTAGCAGCGGAAATTTTGGGCTCTGTTGTGGTCATAAGTCGAGGACCACCTGTATTTAGCCAGATAAAGGGGGTTGAGAAACACTCTGGAATTCAGCTCCCCAAAGTCAAATATTTCTGTTTTCCTTCCAGTTATGCAGGTAGTCCTCGCCTTACAACCATTCGCTCAGTGAAAAAAGTAACTTATGAGTCCGTTTGTCACCCTTAACGATGCAGCAGCATAACCCGCAGGTCATGTGATGATCAGATTTGAGATGATTGGCAACTGGCTCTTTTTATGACAGTTTCAGCATCTTGGGAATTACGTGATCCCCTTTTGTGACCAGCAGAAGTCAGCGGGGAAGCCAAATTCACTTAACAACCGGGTTGCTAATTTAACAACTGCAGCGATTCACTTAACAACTGTGGCAAGAAAGTTCGTAAAAAGGAGCAGTGGGAATTAACTGTTCTCTTTTTTTCATGTTTCCACTCCACCCCATTTGCAAAGGCTGAGATTTTTTTTAAAGGCACCACTTTTTGAGTTTTCTTGCTTGTGAGAAATGGCAATTGAAAGTGGTCTGATGTTTAATCTCCCACACTTTTTTCTTCCAGCCCCTCTAGCTTTTTTGCTTTTTTTTTTTTTAACTCTTCCCCGTTGCCGAGTTGCTCAAGAGAGCAAAGGCCGAATCTCCTGGCTTTCAGTCTCATCCTACGACGGCAGGAAAATCGGTAGGCGGGTGGGCAGAGGTGGGAGCAGCTTAAGGCAACCCGGTTCACTTCATGGCTAAACCAGCTTGCTCCCCATTTCAAAATTCAGGGTATAACATTGCGGAGCTTGCTAGCTCCATAAGTGATGGCTTATTATGGTCCTATACGAAAGATTTTTATTTTAAAAGGCAGAGCCCTTCTTGATTGCACATACCCAGTGTTGAAATTCCTCTTGTGTTTTGGTACGAAAGTAGTTTGTTCCAGTAGTGCCAATTCATCAGCGCGTCGCTCTAGTCTAGGAGTTTGCAACATGGACTTCAACTCCCAGAATTCCTGATCACGACCGCTGGGATACATGGCTGGCTCAGGAATTCTGGGAGATTGAAGTCCACAGGGGTAAATGTGCCGCAATTGCACACCTCTGTGCCGGGATGTCCTTCCCTGCCTAGGTGCCCTTCCCTTCCCCAGAGGTGTGGGGACTAACTATCACAGCAAAAAAAAAACCCCACACCTGTGGGAATGTGAGATGCTTCTCAATAGCTGGCAGGCTGCCCTAAGAATCTTAAGGACTCCTTTGTCTGTTTCTGCCGCAAATATTTTCCTTTTTTTTTTTTTTTGGCTCATAGCTGCTGCTGCTGCTACTTACCAGACCAAATTCTCTTCCATCCTTGGCATTAAAACTTCGTACAAGTTTCCTAAATTATTGGATATCGTCCCAAACTCCTCTTTGCAATGCAAAGGGTTCCAGATTTTCCTCGCTTTCTCCAAAATCGGCATAAATCTGCCCCAAAAGGAACATGGTTTTCATCTGGGGCCAAACTAACCACACATTTCACTACAGATAGCCTTCGATTTTACGACCACAATGGAGCTTTTCCCATCATGGTTGTAAATCGTGTCAGTCATAAAATGGGTCAGTGTGTGAACATCCTGATTTTACAGCTTTTTTTTTTTGTTTTTTTTTGCCAGTGGTCATTAAGCGAACGCAACGGTCCTAAAGTGGCCACCGTGGTCATTAAGCGAGTGTAACAGTCATAAAGCAAACCAACGATCTTCTATGGGCCTAGCTTTGCCGAAAACCGATTTTTCCCCTCAGCAAAACACAGTCACATGATCGCAAGACTGCAAATGGCCTCAAATGCGAATGAAATCCGGTCATCTGACTGCAGGGGAGGTGACCGTCGGATCTTCAGATCTGGGTCATAAGTAGCCCCCCCCCCAAATAGTTCCATCATGACTTTGAATGGTCGCTCAGCGAACGGTCATAAGCCGAGGACTACCTGTATCGGTGGGTGGGAGGGCTCTAACATACATTTCAGCAGGCATTTCGCTGGGCCTCGGCCTAGCCAGTTACGTCCGGAGAAATTTCAACTGTTACCTTACCTTTAAAAAAGGATTCCTTGTATAGGAAAGAAAGTTTCATTTTCTTGGATAATTCTTGCCGTTCAGCTCTTTTGTACTTTCTTAAAAACTAGTTAAATCTTTTAAACCAGGGGTCTCCAAGCTTGGCAACTAGAAGCCTGGCGGACTTCAACTCCCAGAATTCCCCAGCCAGCTTTGCTGGCTGGGGAATTCTGGGAGTTGAAGTCCGCCAGGCTTCCAGTTGCCAAGCTTGGAGACCCCTGGTTTAAACTATCTAGCATGGCAGTTATCAAATGACACGAGTAAACTCTGAGTTTCTTCCCATGAAGCTGGACACTTTTGTGCAGTTTACACACACACATACACACACAAAACCGTATCCCTACCACACATTGCCGGTACAACTGTGTGAGGGATACAAATTTCTAAATAGCCAAGAACCAAAATTAAGAATATTTTTTTTTAACAGAATAACAAGAGTTGGAAGGGACCTTGGAGGTCTTCTAGTCCAACCCCTTGCTCTTCTTGCCCCCAACCCACAAGTGTTTAAATCAAGTTATTTAAGCATCGCTGCTGGCTGGGGAATTCTGGGAGTTGGATGTCTCCACATGTCTTAAACTTGCTTTAAACTTTAAAAGCTGCTTTTAGATCTTTTTACCTGCTTAGCATTTTTTTTGGTCCTGATGACTTATTTTCCCTCGAAAATAACGATTGGAAAGAGCAGGAAAAATCAGGAAACTATGCAAAATCGCTTGAGGACAGAGATGATTCGAAACCCCTGAACTAACCACAAACACCCCCAGTAGGATTTAAAAATGTAATAGCCATAATAAACCCAGTTAGTTCGATTGGAGGTTTTGCTGGCCCACGAGCAGCCAGAGAATTTTTTTAAAAAGCCTTACGACTCAGGAAAGATTTTAAGATGTTTTGAGTGCCTCCTGTCCTCTTTGCTATTCCACCTCAAAATAATGCTTTCTTCGTGATCTTCAGAATGCTAGGTGGCTCTTTCACATTCAGCGAAGAAGGAAAAAAAATGCAATTTTTCTTCTTGCTTTCTCAGAAAAGTGGCTAATAAAGCCGAGGAGGCCCCCCCACAGAGGACATCCATCCCACTTCCCCCAAATGGCCTATCTCCATTTTTGTCAGGAAGAAAAAAATAAAATGTCATAGCTACTTTTTGATTAAATTATTATGTTGTTTGTTCTATTGATTGTATTTTGTAAATGGGGAAAAAAAACAGCCCCTTTTTCTTCCTTCCCCCCCAACCCCCCCCCCCCCGTGGCACTTTTTAAACCGATTTCGATGACTCCTGGTTTTGTTTTTTTTTCCTATGCATATTTATAATGAATTGAAAAAAAATGTATATATGTAAAAAGTGGGGGAGGATTCTTTCCTTTTTCGCTGTTGAACAATGTGCCTTTTGACTAATGATTTCAGGATTTTGTACTTGCATCAGAAGGATTAAAATATTGGCATTTCAGTTGAATGAAGAAATGAAAGGTTTTTGTACGTACGTGGGTGGGGTGGCAGGGAGGGAGAGAGGAAGAATGGAGGGAGGAAGGGAGGGAGGGAGGAAGGATAGGAGGGAGGGAGGAGAAAAGGATTGGAAGAGGAGTGAGGTGGGACAGGGAGGGAGGAGGGGAAGAGGAAGAGGAGGAAGGCAAAGAAGGAAGGAGAAAGAATGAGACAGGTAGATAGGTAGATCAAAGGAAAGAAGAATAGGGAGGGAAGAAGGAGAAAAGGATTGGAAGAGGAGGGAGGGAGAGAAAGGAAGGAGAAAGAATGAGGAGAAACGTAGGTAAGTAGATCAAAGGAAGGAAGGAAGGAAGGAAGAATAGGGAGGGAGGAGAAAAAGATTGGAAGAGGAGGGGGATGAGAAGGAAGACAAAGGAGAAAGAATATGGAGAAAGGTAGGTAGGTAGATCGAAGGAAGGAGGGAAGAATAGGGAGAAAAGGAGAAAAGGTTTGGAAGAGGAGGGAGGGAGAGAAAAGGAAAGAAAGGAAGGAGAAAGAATGAGAAAGGTAGGTAGATCGAAGGAAGGAAGGAAAGAAAAATAGGAGAAAAAGGGATTGGAAGAGGAGGGAGGGAGAGGAAGAGAAGGAAGACAAAGGAGGAGAAAATATAGAGAAAGGTAGGTAGGTAGGTCGAAGGAAGGGATGGAAGCTGATAAAGAGAGATCCAAACTAGAATTAAGGAGAAATGCTTTGACTGTGAGAACCATCAATCAATGGAATAACTTGCCTTCTGGACTTGTGGGGGCTCCATCCCTGGAGGTTTTCAAAAATACGCTGGACAACTACTTGACTGGGCTGGTATACAAGGTCTCCTGCCTTGGACAGGGGGTTGGACTAGAAGACCTCCGAGGTCCCTTCCGGCCCTACCATTCTATGTAATATGCAGTTTTCTGCAGGCCTGTGTTCAGACACGGAAGACCTTCCTTGCGTACAAAAAACAGAGCCGTCAGAATGATTGGCATGCGGAGAGTTTCTCAACGGATTCTTTTTTTCCAGAGGGCAGAGGTAGTCCTCGACTTAACAACCATTAAACTTATTCCAGCTTTGCATTCATGCTAGGGAATCCCCACCTTGGGACTTAGTTCCTACTTATTTTGCTCCTTTTCTGCCAAAGTAAATCTTCCCTTCAATTTTGATCGTTTACTCGTAAGTCATTCTTAAAACTTCACTTAATGGTTTACATGAAAGCATTCCTCCCCTTGAGCCCTCACTAGAGTCAAAGGGCAGGAGAGAGATCTGAATTAAGTTCTCATCCGGTTTTGGCATCGTATTTGTTTGCTCTTGCACTGGCACTGGTAATAATTAATGCCTGCTACGGAGAAATCAGGGGGCACCGCAAGGCAACACAAATTAGCTGGAGCTGAACTGGGACACCAAATTCCAACTCTCAGTGGTGCTAAAAGTAAAGCTTCAGTGAAGAAATAGAGAGCCAGTTTGGTCTAGTGCTTAAGGCACCAGGCTAGAAACTGGAAGACAGGCGAGACTTAGTCCTGCTTTAGGCATGAAAGCTGGCTGTGAGATTTTGGGCCAATCACCAGGAGACGTGGAGTTCTAGTCCCGCCTTAGGTATGAAAGCTAGCTGTGAGATTTTGGGCCAATCACCTGGAGACGTGGAGTTCTAGTCCCGCCTTAGGTATGAAAGCTAGCTGTGAGATTTTGGGCCAATCACCTGGAGACGTGGAGTTCTAGTCCCACCTTAGGTATGAAAGCTAGCTGTGAGATTTTGGGCCAATCACCTGGAGACGTGGAGTTCTAGTCCCGCCTTAGGTATGAAAGCTAGCTGTGAGATTTTGGGCCAATCACCAGGAGACGTGGAGTTCTAGTCCCACCTTAGGTATGAAAGCTAGCTGTGAGATTTTGGGCCAATCACCTGGAGACGTGGAGTTCTAGTCTCACCTTAGGTATGAAAGCTAGCTGTGAGATTTTGGGCCAATCACCAGGAGACGTGGAGCTCTAGTCCCGCCTTAGGTATGAAAGCTAGCTGTGAGATTTTGGGCCAATCACCTGGAGACGTGGAGTTCTAGTCCCGCCTTAGGTATGAAAGCTAGCTGTGAGATTTTGGGCCAATCACCTGGAGACGTGGAGTTCTAGTCCCGCCTTAGGTATGAAAGCTAGCTGTGAGATTTTGGGCCAATCACCTGGAGACGTGGAGTTCTAGTCCCGCCTTAGGTATGAAAGCTAGCTGTGAGATTTTGGGCCAATCACCAGGAGACGTGGAGCTCTAGTCCCGCCTTAGGTATGAAAGCTAGCTGTGAGATTTTGGGCCAATCACCTGGAGACGTGGAGTTCTAGTCCCGCCTTAGGTATGAAAGCTGGCTGTGAGATTTTGGGCCAATCACCCGAGACATGGAGTTCTAGTCCCGCCTTAGGTATGAAAGCTAGCTGTGAGATTTTGGGCCAATCACCTGGAGGCATGGAGTTCTAGTCCCGCCTTAGGTATGAAAGCTAGCTGTGAGATTTTGGGCCAATCACCTGGAGACATGGAGTTCTAGTCCCGCCTTAGGTATGAAAGCTAGCTGTGAGATTTTGGGCCAATCACCTGGAGACATGGAGTTCTAGTCTCGCCTTTAGGTATGAAAGCTAGCTGTGAGATTTTGGGCCAATCACCAGGAGACGTGGAGTTCTAGTCCCGCCTTAGGTATGAAAGCTAGCTGTGAGATTTTGGGCCAATCACCAGGAGACGTGGAGTTCTAGTCCCGCCTTAGGCATGAAAGCTAGCTGTGAGATTTTGGGCCAATCACCTGGAGACATGGAGTTCTAGTCCCGCCTTAAGGTATGAAAGCTAGCTGTGAGATTTTGGGCCAATCACCTGGAGACGTGGAGTTCTAGTCCCACCTTAGGCATGAAATCTGGCTAGGTAACTTCGGGCCAATCACCAGGCAACATGGAGTTCTAGTCCTGCCTTAGGCCTGGAAGTTGGCAGGGTGACTTTGGGCCACTCAATCTCTCAGCCCAACCCACCTCATAGCCTTCTTGTTGCGGGAAGACTAGGAGGATAGGTTTGCCCGCTTGAGTTATTTGTAAAAAATAAAGGTGGGATACAAATAAAAGAAAATAAAAATAACTTTTGGAGAACCTGAAGTTGCCCCAACTCTCCCAAGGCTAACAAATGAAGTTAATTTCCACTTCCCATCCCGACAGCACAGATCTAACCGTCTTCACCTGCAGATCGCAGGTAGCTTTGCACTTCTAAAATGGCTGCCTCCCTCACCTCACCTCCCTCAGCCCAAGCCTCATAGAGAGCTCTTACACATAAACCTCAAGACACTGGATCTGCTGAAGAAAAAAAAACATCTTTATTTGTACAAGATGGAAGGTGTGGCCTGGGGTGCAAATACAGACATTCCCGCTAGCCTCCCGTGTGAACTTGTGCCAAATCTCTCAGACCCGCCTCACCAAATAGGCTTGGCTTGAAGGCAGACCGTCATCCTGGCAAAATTCACAGGCAAACCAGAGGAACGCTGGCGGAACACGGCCAGGGTGACAAGAGGCAGGCGGGGCTTACAGGAATCGGAGCAGGTCCTTTTCCATCGTCTGCAGAAGCGAAACAAAAGAAAACAACAGGGTGGGTGTGAGGTGGCTGCATCTGGCCAGGATTTACACTCTTAATACTCAATATACTATACTTCATATTACAACAGCAGCAAGACTCTTATTTGCCCAGAATTGGAAACAAGAAAACATGCCAACAAACGCAATGATAATAAAAAAAAGTCCTCGATTGTGCGGAAATGGATAAATTTACCATGGAGCTTAAAGACAGAGAGGAATCAGAGTATTACAAGAGTTGGAATATGTGGTATCAATGGCTTGAAACGAGATGTAAAATTGATGCATGAAGATGATATAGAAAGTACGTTACATTGAAAATTATATATATTTATTCCATGGAGATTCTCAGTCATCCAGGTCAGGATTGTCTCAAAGGTGCTTTTTCAAAAGGCAACCGGCCTATGTTTTTTTTTCCCCCTTGAGCGAGAAGAAAACGTTTCACTTCTCCTCCAAGAAGCTTCATCGGTTCTTGATGAAGATGAGAAGCGAAACGTCTTCTTCCTCAAGGGGGAAAAAAACATAGGCCAGCTGCCTTTTGAAAAAAAACACTGGAGACCGTCTCAAAGATGAGACGCTGCAACATTTCACGTGACACACCAGCGTTCACCAGCACCCAACGATTATTCTCCAAAGCCACGGATCATTGTCTTGATTTTTTGGGAGCTGTGGAGGCCAGGCAAGACGGCCGTGCTCTCGAACGGCCTCTGAGAGGCTACAAAAATTGTGCAAGAACGGTGTGTGCTTTTGCAGGTTTCGGAGGCCTCAGATGGGCGTTCCTCTGAAGCGGCTTCAAGAATAAAGGCCTCGTGCAACCTGAAGCAGCCTCAGGTAGGGCTGCAGGAGGCTGTCAGTAGACGGAGAACCCCATGCAGGTAAGTAGCAGGTAAGCATGGCACATCTTGGGAAGTGCTGCACCGCGGGGGCAAATGCATCCAGAAGGTTTCTTGGGGAATCGTGCAAGGTGGCCTTTTTGGGTGGCAGCAGTAGGGATGTAAACCGCTTAGAGAGGGCTATAAAGCACTATGAAGCAGTATAAGAAGTCTAAGTACTATTGCTATTGCTATTGCTATTGGGCTGACGTTGAGACCTAAGCATTGACCGTATTCAGCTGGTTCTATCCGGTTCGCCCGAACCAGTAGGGGCGACTGCGAGATGCTCCGGCCACCCGTGCAGACGTCACGACGTCCCACTTTTCCACGTTTTCGAGGCTCTGCGCATGCGCGGAAGGCCTTGCGCGCACACACACACATTTGCGAATCGGTAGGGAAGGTAAGTGAATACCACCCCTGTCCTTCAAGCCCAGCCTTGGCAATGCACCGAGTGCCACCATTCAGAGTGGTCTAAATGGGGGGCTGGGGCAGATAGAGAATTGTTTGTCCTTTGTTGGAAGGAGAAGCAATGAGATGCCAGCAGAGTTAAATCGGACACATTATGGTTTTTTTGACCATGCCAAGTCCAAAAGGTTCGTCATCGCTGCCCTCCTGTTAGCAGCCATTGGATCAAAAACAGCCTTCTGGCAGTCACACTTGGGGAAGAGGTGTGTGTTTTGCATCCACACTAAAGACCGCTTTACGTTACTGAACGAAGCACCGTTAGTTTGATTTGCACAGTGTTTCAGGCAGCGGTGGGATGCTGCCAGTTTAAAAAACTGCGTGCGTGGTTTTACAAATACTAACCTTCTGTGTTACCACTTGGGAGTAACACAGCTGAGCTGCGGCAATCCGCTCTGCCTTGCCAATCAGCTGGTAAGATAAAGGTAAGTAAAGCGCAGGGACGGGTGGGCAGGCTGACCTGATCATTGGAGTGAACTGGTTCGCTCCCAGCTGATCATCGGCGCTACAGATTTGCCCGAACCGGTAGAATCCCATCCCTGGTTTCAGGCCATTGGTTTTTTTTTTTCCTGCATGAGTGGTCTCCTTCTTGGTTGGGATTACAACTGGGTTGGATTCTCCCACCTCCAGATAAGCCACGGTTTTCAACACACCCTGGCTGGGTTTAGCATGGTGTGCGAACCACCTAACTCGGCATTGTGGCCAGATACTCAGGCTGAGCTGGGCCAGCTCTGCAACTGGACAATGTCTCAGAGGTTCTTGGGACAGACTCAATAGGTGGCCTAAAAAGCCCAAATATCCCAGTCGAAACATCTGGCTGACTGCGCAACCGACCGTAATAATATGCAGACTTACAAATGGGTCATCCATGGGACTGAATCGCTTGACCACCTGCCCTTCCCTGTTGATCAGGAACTGCAAGGAGAAAAGGAGAGGAGTTTTTTTCTGAACAAAAAGTTGACGACAGACAGTAGTCCTCGACTTACAACAATTGAGCCCCACCATTTCCACTGATAAGCAGGGTAGTTGTTAAGTGAGTTTTGCCCCGTTTTTGTTTACAAGTTTTAATAAAAATTACACATCCCCCCCCCCCCAAAAGAGTTGAAGGTACTCACCTTGCTAAAATTCCACTTTATAGCACTAGGGAGAAAGAAAGAAAGAAAGAAAAAAAAACATCATTTAGCTCTAAAGGTTAGTGTTTTATTTCTAGTGTTTCACTCAAAACCTTCCTGTGCTAAACCACACTAAAGCCAAGATCAGGGATCAGCAACCCACGGCTCTGGAGCCGCATGTGGCTCTTTCATCCCTCTGCTGTGGCTCCTTGTCGCCAGTTGACTCCACAATTGATAGGGCTTTTGGTTAGGACAGGTAGAGGAAAAAGGACACAGCGCTTGGAGGAGACTCTATGGTGGGGGAACGAGACTTCCGGTCAGCAGAGGAAAAAGGTGCCGTGCTAGGAGGAGACTCTATGGTGGAGGAACTGGACTTCCGGTCAGCTCCAGAATTGAATGGGGGGCTTCCGGTTAGGACCTTTGTGGCTCTTTGAGTGTTTAAGGTTGCTGACCCCTAGCCAAGACGAATAGTGGCTGATATCTCTCACCAGAGAGAGGGCCAACACACTCAACTGGGAAAAGCAGGAATAACAACAATACTAATAACAATATTAACATTTGTGGTACATTTTTAAAAATGTTCAGCTGACCGACTTTCATTTTTAATGAATAAAAGAAATAATAATAATAATAAAAATAATAAAAATAATAATACGACTCCAGAAAGGGAGAGAAAAAGAGCAATTTTGGAAGTTAAACCAAAGTTATTAAACCTTCAAATAATTACAACAGGCTGGCTGGGGAATTCTGGGAGTTGAAGTCCACCACGGATTGAAGTTGTCAAGTTCTAAAAACACTTGTTTTAGACCTTTATTTTAACTAAAAATAAATCAATAGGTGCGTGTGGTATATCAGCTATGCCCATTTTCAGAGACTTTTTCAGAATTGGGGGCAGCGAGAACTCACTTTCCCAGAGTGCCTCTGCCTTTCGGCTGGTGTTTTAGCCACTTCCAGAGAGGATGAGCATTATCCCCATTGACTTCAATCTTGCTAAACATGTCGAATTTCACCCCGTAGGTTTCAGCAAATGCTTTAATTTCTTCCTCGGTACCGGGCTCCTATTAAAAACGAAAACAAAAGGGAGACAGATGGTTTTTAAGATGGTTAAAACGATCTTAAACAGTTGTTCCTAGCATTCAGTCTGTTTTAAGTTGCAGATCCAGATGTTTTTGAACTGCGTTCGCTCACTGTTTACAGTGAAAACCTATCAATGCATGATGTAAGGAAGGTCTGAAGATTGTTTTAGCCAGCTTGTCATAGATTCTTGGCCATTTTTCCACTCCTAGTCCAGCATCCCATTATGTCCACTAGCTGTCTCCTCTCAGGAGACTAGGATTTGGGTCTCCCCAGCCCTAGTCCAGCCCCTTCCCCACTATTCGATTGGCTGTTGGATTGGGAGGAAGGGACTGGCCCAAAGTCAACCAATGAGCTTCTTTCTGCACCTGAGGCAGGACTACAACCTGGTTCTGCCCACACCTCATCCAGGCCTTCCATATTACTCTTGATTGGCTCTTGGGCGGAGAGGGAAGGATTGACTGAAATTCAGCCAATGGGATTCCATGGCTGAGGGGGATAGAACCTGGGTCTCCCACTCCTTTTTCCGGTCCCTTCTGCGCTATGACTGATTGGCTCTTTGGCTGGGATGGACAGTCTGGCCCAAATTCAGCCAATCAGCTTCCATGGCTAAGGGAGCACCTGGGTATCCTCACTCCTAGTCCATCACTTTCCCCACTATGTTATGCTGGCTCTCCTTAGAGCAAGGGTCAGCAACCTTAAATGGTCAAAGAGCCACAAAGGTCCTAACCGGAAGCCCCCCATTCAATTCTGGAGCTAACCAGAAGTCCAGTTCCTCCACCATAGAGTCTCCTCCTAGCACGGCACCTTTTTCCTCTGCTGACCGGAAGTCTCGTTCCCCCACCATAGAGTCTCCTCCAAGCGCTGTGTCCTTTTTCCTCTACCTGTCCTAACCGAAAGCCCTATCAATTGTGGAACTGACTGGCGACAAGGAGCCACAGCAGAGGGATGAAAGAGCCACATGCGGCTCCAGAGCCACGGGTTGCTGACCCCTGCCTTAGAGGATAATTAGGAAGGAGGAGGGGTGGGGAGGAGGAGGATCATTTCATTGTGACATTAAAACACACACAAACACAATAACAGCCCCCCGTCTCCCCTTTCCTACCTGCTTGCCAAACTGGTTGCAGGGGAAGGCTAGAATGCGTAAACCTCTCTCAGCGTATCTACTATACAGTTCGACAAACTGAGTGTAGTTTACGTCAGTCTTGCCTCACTGCGTCGCCACGTTGGTGATGATGCAGACCGTACCCCTGGAGAGACACACAAATGCAACAAGAGAGACGGTCACAGGTAGTCCTCGACGTACGACCCCAGCTGAGCTCAACATTTCCGCTGTTAAGCGAGACAAGTGGTGGAGTGAATTTTGGCGCCATTTTACGAGCTTTCTTGCCACGGCTGTTAAGGGAATCCCTGCGGTGGTTAAGTTAGTGACAACGCTTGTTTAACTGAATCTGGCTTCCCTAACTGACTTAGCTTGTCAGAAGGCTGCGAAATGGGATCACATGACCCCGGAACACTGCGACCGTCATAAATTTGACTCTGTTGCTAAGCAGCTGAATTTCAATCATGTGACCATGGAGTAAGAATGCAACAGGCGTAAGTGTGAAAAACAGCCGTAAGTTGCTTTTTCGGTGTCATCGTAACTTCAAACGGTCGCTAAATGAACTGTTGTAAGTCAAGGACTACCTGTCTTTGGAAGGGCCACCCGAAATTCCAGGCACACTGACTGGGGTCTAAACCTTCCTTCCCAGAATCGTACATAATTTCTCTACTAGCTGCATTTCTGCTTTCCTGCCGAGCTGTGTTATTTATTTATCAAGCTTCTACAGCTGCCCTTCTCACACGATGTGACTTTGGACTTTAGGCAGCATAAAACAAAAAGTGTAAAATAATAAATGTGTCAAACACACTCGTGTTTTTTTAAAAAAACTGCACATAGGAGAGATTGATTGGCAACAGTGTTCTTAAGAAACGATGGGATATTTAGGAGCCGAGACTGTCTACCTATTCTTCCAAACACAGTTGAAAAAAACTAACAAGCAATGCTGGCTTGTGAATCAAATGCCATCCAGGCCTCAACCTCGTAAGGAATGGCTATAATCAGGCAAACTTCTCCTCCTCCTCATATATTAGGTACAAGTAGTTCTCGATCTATGACTGTAATGAAGCCTGCCTGCCATATTTCCACTTCATGATGGTTATAAAAAGGGTTATCCACATGACCGGCCTGATTTTACAACCTTTTCTGTGACAGTCGTTAAGCAAACGCTGCAGTCGTTAAGCGAACCAATGGGTGGTTTTGCCGAAATCGGAAGCAAATGCTGGTTGTTGACGAAAACATGCGGCTGCAGGGTGCTGCAAATGGCCTTAAAGACGCGTTGTCAAGCGTCTGGCATGCGATCACATGACCACAAGGGGTGGTGGGAATTGGAATCGGGTTAAGTACCCTCAGACAGGTATGGTGGAAAAGTCGAGGACTATTGGTACCATGTTTCCCTGAAAATAAGACCCTGTCTTATATTTTTTTGAACCCTGAAATAAGTGCTTGGCCTTATTTTTGGGGAGGTCTTATTATTTTGGGACGTGTGGAGCAAGACGGGGCTCCTCTTGCTGTCTTACCTGATTTCCAGCTCTGCGTTTAAATATTTTTGGGGAGGGCTTATTTTCACGCATGTGTTCAAAAGCCTGATTGGGCTTATTATCAGGGGATGTCTTATTTTGGGGGAACAGGGTATACCAGGAGTGTCCAACTTTGGCCACTTTTTAAGACCAGTGCACTTCAACTCCCAGAATTCCCATGGCTGGCTGGGGAATTCTGGAGTTGAAGTCCACACATCTTAAAGTCAGTAAGCTTGGACACATCTGCTGTACCTACTGCTCGATTACAAATTGTTAAACACATTGAAAAACGAAGAACGCCAAAACCACAACAGCAGAGCAAATCAACCTCAGATGGGAACAACTTGCCTGTATTTCTCCAGCGAGACATCGTTGCCGTCGATATCCAGCGCATGGAAGTCGTAGATCGACTTGGCCGACTGCCAATCAAACTTCTGAGCACACTGCAGGGAAGAAATATAGGGGAGGGGGGGGGAAATCAGAGAAAAGTGAATGGAGCGCATATCCCTTCTTGTCAGGCCCAAAAAACCAAGAACGACATGCGGAGTATGGGAGGGTCACATGTTTTATGCCAAGCCCCAAACAAGCCACTTTTGAATCAAACCATGATTTAGCATCAAATACAAACTCAGATTCGGTGCCCCACGTCTTGTGGCCCACCAGCGGCCAATGGAGCTGGCAACAGAGTCAGACAGCGAGGAGGTTGGGGATGAACATGGGCCAGTCCTGGGGGCTGGGGAAAGCTCGGACGAGGGCTCTGCGTCGGAAGCAGAGAGGGAGATAGACAGCAGTGAAGCAGAGGAACAGCTGGAGCCCGTTCCCAGTGTGCCCATGCGCAAAGCTGCCAGAAGACAAGAACAACTCAGAAAGTAGGGTCGACTCGGGAGTAAAGCCACACCTTGGAGGTGATTGGCCCCTCCCATAGGAAACAAAAGAGGAAAAAGGCGAAAGATTTATACGATCTGAAGAGAAACCAGAGTATCAAATTAGATAGGAATTTTTTTTCAGGAACTTAACTCTATTATCAGGAAATTTATTTGGGGAGGGAAGAAACCGAGGATTGCAATTAGGAGTTTACAGGACAAAAAAGATAGAGGTGGTCTCGGACTCCCAATTTGGGAAACCTACCACAAAGCGGCAATCTTAGTTTGGTTAAAAGAATGGGCAACCCTGGGAAACAAGAGAATTTTGACACTGGAAGGGTATGACCTCCAGGAGGGTTGGCATGCCTAGCTCTGGGAAACAGGGAAAAGAACAAAAACACATTTCCACAAACATAAAGTAAGGGACACGTTAATGTCAATATGGGGAGAAATTAGGAAAAAACAATATACTAAAGTCCCCAGATGGCTATCTACGATGGAGGCGATAATATACCCCAACGTCCTGGAATTAGTCAAAACAGTAAAATATAAAGAGATACTAGATGGGGCAGGGAATCTCAAAACAATGGAACAATTGAAAGAACAGGGCATCCATATCGAATGGTGGACATATGCACAAATCCAATCACGATGTAAGAAAGATAAAGAGCAATACGGTATAGAGATAGGCAGCAATGGGTTTGACAAGATATGGATGGGCACGGACAATAAATTGTTGGCCAAATTATATAATTATCTGGTGGAGTATGATTTAATAGATGAGGTGGTTAAGGACCCAATGCTAGCATGGGCTAAAAATATCGGACAAACCATTAATCTGGATGAGTGGGATCAAATTTGGAATAACAGTCTTAAAATGACTAGGGCAACAACTTATAAAGAAAACCAATACAAGATGATTTATAGGTGGCACTTAGCACCAGCCAGGATCGCTAAAATTTATCCAAATCTGAGTCCAAACTGTTGGAAGTGTGACCTGTCCACGAGCCAAAGAATTTTGGAGGATGATATGCAAATGGGTGTCGGAAATAATAGGAGATACCATTGAATTAGAACCAAAAATATTTCTCCTGGGAATCTTGAAGACAGAAATTGCAAGAAAGAAGAAGTACCTTATCGTACATATAATAACAGCAGCGAGAATCTCCTTCGCTCAACACTGGAAAGAGAAAAAGCTACCACCCAAAGAGCAGGTAATTGGGAAGATAATGGAATGCGCTGAAATGAACAAACTGACGTTAGAAATCAATGAAAGAGAGGAAACTGACTACTATAGCGTGTGGGATATGTGGTATGAGTGGTTAGAGAAAAGAAAATCGAAGTGAAGTGTAAGAGAGTTAAAAGTCAATCAGATGATTAATTAAATGGGTATATTGAAATGAGCTGTACTACAGGCAGTAGGAAGAAAATGGAATGTGATATAAGTAAGAACTCCTACGAGTAGTACCTTTTTAAGCTAAGATAATTAGGTAATACCATGTAAATAATATGTAAATATTAAGTATATGTATATGTATGCGTTTATTAACACCATGATACCGGAAAGGTGGAATTGTATTATAATTTTCTAACAATAAAAACTTATTAAAAAAAAAAGGAAACAAAAGAGGAACGAATGGGGAGGGAGCTTTTGCGGGAAACAATTCATCCATTCAGTAGTTTCAAGAGAGGAAAAGTTCTGTTCGTGATTCTAAGAGACTCTGTGCCAAGTTTTGCCTTGTTTGGAAACAAGTTACCTGGCAGCTTGCCAAGCGAGATAAGGTCTGTGTTGATAAATATTCCTTTGAAAAACTGTTTGGACAAACCTTGCTGACTGTGAATGAATGGGCGGGGCCGATTCCTGCTTCCTGCTTTTTAAGGGAGCCCTCAAAAGGCCCACGTAACATTGTTGCTCTAAAACAGGGGTCCCCAAACTTGGCAGCTTTAAGACCTGTGGACTTCAACTCCCAGAATCCCCCAGCCACCATGCTGGCTAAGGAATTCTGGGAGTTGAAGTCCACAAATTTTAAAACTCGCCAAGTTTGACCGATATTGCTTTAAGGTACAGGGCCTTTTTGTACAGTAGATTCACAAAGACAGTTTATTTCGCATGAGAAACTTTTGAAGTGGGTTGCTGCTAGTTTCGTTATGAGGTTATTCATTACCCCACTCAAGAGAGGACAGGAAACAAAAGTTTTATTTGAAAGAATAAGGGAAGCATTACTTCTGTAAGGGGAAACCCCGCAAAAAGGATGGAAAATACCCCAAAGCAAAATGGTGAAATAACTAATTGCAATGAGCAATGCTAATTAAGTCTTTAAATCTGAAATCTAATCCTATGTAACAAAAAGGGAAAGAATGCTTAGGCTGGCGAGATCGGCTGTGGCGTTTAGAAGACGGGCGTGCACAGGTAGTCCTTGACTTATGACCATCCGTTTAGCGACCGTTCAAAGTTAACGACGGCACTGAAAAAAGTGATTTATGACCGTTTTTCACTTACGACCATGGCAGCGTCCCCGTGATCACATGATCAAAATTTAGACGCTGGCTCGTATTTATGACAGTTGCAGTATCCTGGAGTCTCATGATCCTCCTTTTGCGACCTTCTGACAAGCAAAGTCAAGGCAAGAGCCTTGGTAGTACAGGGGTTTAAGGCACCCTGTTATTAAGCTGGTTATTAAGACCAGCTGCCTGCAATTACTGCAGGGTTCGAATCTCGCCAAGGCTCAAGGTTGACTCAGCCTTCCATCCTTTCTAAGGTAGGTAAAATGAGGACCTGGTTTGTGGGGGCAATAAGCTGACTTTGTATAAAATATACAAAAGGATGAAGGCTATTGCTGAGCACATTGTAAGCCGCCCTGAGTCTTCGGAGAAGGGCGGCATATAAATCAAATTAAAAAACAAAACAAAACAAAACAAAAAAATCGGGGGAGCCAGATTCACTTAACAAGCATGTTACTAATTTAACACTTCAGTGTTTCATTTAACAACTGTGGCAAGGCAGCTTGTAAAATGGGGCAAATCTCATTTAACAACTGTTGCTTGGTAACGGGAATTCTGGGTTCAGTTGGGGTCGTACGTCGAGGGCAACCTGTACATTTCATTGAGTCTTTCTCCTTTTGTGTCTCTGAGTGTATGCACAATAATCTTGTCATTTTGTTGTTGTTGTCGTTAAATTGACACCTGTCATTAGCAAGATCTGCCTGCAGAGATAGCATGGGCGGATACTTCTTGGGAACAATATATATTATATCTTGTATCTTATCTAAGGAAGCTGTAAACTATAAACAGACATTGTTAAGAGACACCAAAACACTGACATCTCAGCTCTGGCTGTTGCAGCCAAGATGGCTTATGAGTTGCTCTTTTTGGGGTGCCCCACGAGTGACCCAACTAGCAAAGGTTGATCAATTGTCCTGTTCCCAATAGACTCCGATTAAGTTATGCAATCGTTTTTCATCTGTATCTTTGCACGGGCTTTCAAAATTTGTTGCTTTCAAAATTTGTAAGTAAACATTTTTAAGAAGAATGGATATCATGGCTGGTTTCACGGGTGACATTAACCCTATAATATAATGTTTCTCAATCTTGACAACTTTAAAATGACTGGACATCAACTTCCATAAGTCTGGGAGTTAAAGTCCAGTCATCTTAAAGTTGCCACGATTGAGAAAAACAGGCATAAGCATCGAATCGAATCGAATCGAATCGAATCGAATAAAATAGAATAGAATTGAATTGAATACTTTGTCACTTTAAATGTACACTAATCAGCATAAATTAAAATGAAATTTCATTCAGCTCTCAAAAGTTAACCATTGTGCATATACCCACATACACACACATGTATGACAGAGAGAAACATCACAGCCTACAGGTAGTCCTTGACTTACAACAGTTTGCTTAGTGACTGTTCAAAGGTACCACTGCACTGAAAAAAGTGCCTTTTGACTGTTTTTTACATTTATGACCCATCCTCATAGTCTTGTGATTTACATTCGGATGCTTGACATCTGACTCACATTTATGACGGTTGCAGTGTGCCAGGGTCACGTGATCCCCTTTTGCGACTTTCTGACAAGCAAAGTCAACAGGGAAGCCAGATTCACTTAACAACTGTGTTTTTCACAACTGCAGTGATTCACTTAACGACCCGTGGCAGAAAAAGTCATAAAGTGGGACAAAACTCATTTAAAAAATTTCTCACTTAGCAACATACACTTTGGGCTCCATTGTGGTTGTAAATTGAGGACTACCTGTAGTTTGAATGTATACATATACATGGAAGAAAAAAAAAAAGAATCCTGCAAATTTACCGGACGGATGACATAGTAGACAAAGTTGTTACAGAATCTGATAGTCCTGCTAGAAATACTTTGAAACCTCCTCCCAGAGGGGAGCAACAGAAACAGACCATACAGTGGGTGTGTAGGATCTCTAACAATGCTTTGAGCTCTAAGCACATAGCGCTTATAAGCAGTATCCTGAATGACAGAAAGGCAGCTTCCTATAATCTTCTCCACTGTCCTCACCACTCTCTGTATGAACTTTCTATCTAAGCCGCTGCTGCCACCAAACCA